TCAACGATTGAATGAGGTATGTAAGCACAACAATGTGACTCTGCAATGGATCAAGGGACACAGTGGATCTAGAGGCAACGATGCAGCAGATGAACTGGCCAGAAGGGGATCGGCCCTAGCAACTATAGGGCCGGAACCAATAATACCAATCCCCTTTGGCTACGTTCGTTCACTGGTACGTAGATACTTCAATAATTTACACGCTCACTTGGAAAAATTTGTAGACTGTAGACAAGCTAGGGAGGCCCTACCTGAAATAAACAGTCATCTAACCAAGGTTCTAATGAGACTGAACAAGCCACAGATCAGGATAGTAACAAGTGATAGCACAGGACATGGCTCTTTTAACAAACATTTGTTCACCATAGGTGTTACTGACAGCCCCCTGTGCAGGGCATGCATGGGAGAGGAAGAAACGGCGGCTCACGTGTTGCTGTCATGTCCAGAAGTCGCTTCATACAGGGCTAAACATCTCGGCACGCCGGGATAGCTCCCCGAAGTTGCTTGCAACATCAAGGGACTGCTGAGCTTCTTTGGGGAGATATCATGGCTCGAATAAGCATATTATTCCTGCCCACACGCAAAATACGCGCTTAGACGTGGAGTTGCGGAAAACAGCCAGCGTAAACTAACTAAAGAAGATAATTTATTTAAATGGCGACCCTGCCACATGGATTTTTTTATCTGCTCTTAGAAGGCCAACAAATAATTTATAAAATCCATACTTCCATACCCTACTTCGATGATTGTACCCTACTTTAAAAATAAGTGTAAGTATTAATAAAATCTACAACTCTTTCATTTCAATGGATATTTTTGCTTTTATAACTTCATAAGAGAGTAAAATACCAGGCCAACATACATTCTATTACTGGGATGCAAAACTTTACACATTCTACTCTAAAACATTTTTCAAACATGTCGATTTCTACCCAACATATTATGTTATAAAATTACGGGAATTACTAAACATGAATAGTGTGCTCAAAAAGAAATTTAAGACAAACCCATTAAGTGTATGTACATTTTATATGATTTTAAAGTATAAGTAAAGACTGAAATGTTCATTTATTTAAATAGTGACAAGATCATTTTCTAACAATACATTTTTAATTTTAATTATCTCCTTTATTGTTTGAAAAAAATGTTGGTGACAGGCAGACAATCTTCAAATTGATTCCTAGTGTTCCGTTTTTAAGTAGCAAACACAAAGTGTGTATCTTGCAATAGAATTGTATTGTAAATACATACATGCAAAAATATATCCAGCAGAGGCAGATTAAAAGTTTACAGCACCCTAAGCTAGCACCTCGTTGGCGCTCTTCATCAGAAGAGCTGACTGTGATTTTTTTTACAATTTTCAAGACAATTTTTGAAGATTGGTAAGATTTTTTTAATTTTCAAGAAATTTTTTTGAACAAATAGCAGACTTGCCTTGCGGAATTTTCCATAATAATTTTCTTTTAGAAGACCAAAGAGTATTTATAAGACCCATACTTAACCAAATCCGACATTTTACTTTTAATAAAATAGTTCACTACCACTTTAACAAATGTTCGGATATTTAGCCGATTCGTTTTATATTCGGTATATTCAGCAGCGTTACTGAATATTCGGCTAAATCACCGAACATTTGTTAAAGTGGTAGTGAAAACCTATGAACTTGAAACGTAAGAATTGAGTAATGCCATGTCTTTCATAATTTTACTGTTGAAAGTATATTTATGGTTTTAATTTACTTGTATAGCATTTTGTTTTGTCACTCATTTTTATCATATATATATACACATATTTTTTTTAACACTGGCATGTAATAAATCAACATGCTGCAACGAAGAACCAGGGAAAGATAGCACTCTCAAAAAAAAACTAAACATCTTAATTCTGCTATGTTGAGTATGATAAGTAGAGTAGTATGGTGTACACCCACTATGAGGCAATGGGAGGGGCTTATGTACAGCAAGTTATGATAATGAATAAAAAATTACTAGCAAATATAATAATTGTTATTTCTATTTACTCTAGCCCTGTAATAAATTTCATTGAATCGGAGGAAAGGGTCGGCTTTAGTAATCTGCTGCACGATTTAAGTGATCATTTTAGCTTTAGTTGATAGGTAATGATGCTATTGATTACCATCTAGCTGCTTTTTATGCCGGAAATCCTTAGTTTTCGAGATATCGATAATTTTAGTTTTGAGGTTATGTCCATTTAAAAATGATACGAAACGAAATAACAACATAATTATTTGATCATTTTAGCTTTAGTTGACAGGCAATGACACTATTAATTATCATCTAGCTGTTTTTTTATGCCGGAAATCTTTAGTTTTCGAGATATCGACAATTATAGTTTTGAGGTTATATCCATTTAAAAATGACACGAATACGAAATAAGAATATAATTATTACAAAGAGATAGCAATAGAGCATGGTCTGTACTCTATTTTAAAAAAAATAAGCAACAAGGTTATAATTATTAGAAAGAGATAACAATAGTATAGTTTGTATGATCTATTAATCTATTTATAGTGCTATCCTACTCTAACATACGATGTTAAACCACGTATTGTTTTTTAGTCACCATCCATTCCACTTTCGCCTTCGGACTTTGAATGTTTTGCGCTCATTTTTTGCTCCTAATTCTTGACCCTTGCTCGATTATCGGACCTCCATTTACCGCCTGCTCTATTTTCGACCTCTGCTTGTTTCTTGGACCTGTGATTTGCCTTGACGAAGACCCGTGCTCGAATACCGGACCACCGATTTGCCCTACGAAGACCCCTGCACGTTTTCTTGGACTTTGCCTACCTGTCTGTCTACCTGAGAGACCCAAGATGGCCGACGACTCTACGCCGTCAACTAGTTCGGCCGGTCCGTCGAACGCAAGCGACGCCGCCGCAACGGATGTAGTACCCTTCGCGGAGCTTTATGGTGATTTTGTGCGCAGGCGTTTATATGTGGAAGAAGGAGCTAAATTTTTTAATTTACCCCGAATCGTGCGAGAACTCGGTACCAGAGTACAGTGTGTGGAGTTTGCCATTGAAAATGGCTTAATCCCTGCCACTAAGGAGTGCCGCACCCATAGAGTGCTAATGAAAGTGGTATATGGGCAAAATAAAAATGTGGGCTTATTTGTTTGCAATAAAGGAAATTGCAGAGCCCGATCCAGGGTAGTGGCAAGGGCACCTGATTTGAAAATATTAAAATGTCATTGCCACGGGTATTCTATCTGATGTATTGTTATGCGCATCGCTGGAGCTATGAAGATGCAATCCACGAAGACCCAGAAAAAGATATAGAGGGAGGCTGCTTATCTATGGCGACTGTCTGCGATTGGTACAATTACTGCGGGGAGATAGTCGTCATTTACCAAATAGAGCAACAAGAGGCCATCGGCAAGATTGGTGGCCCAGGAAAAGTAGTCCAAATAGACGAGTCAAAATTTGGAAAACGGAAATATAATAAAGGTTATTTGATTTTCTTATATTACAGACTGAAACAATATATTTATAATAATAATATAATGATAATTAAATTTATTTCAGACCCACATATAGTCCATAATATGTTAGTAAATTAGCTTAACCTATGTTAGTCTTAAATTATTACACATTATTTATTTTAAAGTTTACTTTTGAACCCAAATTATCTTTTAATACCTTTTATTAAATATATTTGAATACCTTTTAAAGCCAAAATATCTGGAAGAAATCAGTTTCAGAGTGATAAGAACGCCTGTTGTACATTTTCTGGTATAAAATTTTGTAATTTTGTATTTGTTTTTTTTTTTTTGTAATTTTGTACTATTGTGTTTTGGTGTACACTGTACAATATAGAGTAAATAAATAAATAAATATCTTGAATATTTACTAACTCTAAATTGTTTATTGTTGATTTTAGGATGGCAGATTGAGGGCCACTGGATCCTCGGCCTCATTGAGGATGGAAGTGAGGATTTACGACTAGAGGTGTGCCCTGAAAACATCAGGTCAGCGGACATACTAGTGCCCCTAATTAAAAAACATGTGGTTGAGGGCACCACAATCCATACCGACTTCTGGAGGGCTTATGATTGTTTGGGGCAACATGGGTACATTCACAAGAAGGTGAACCATTCAGATCCTGAGAACCCATTTGTTGCCCCTGATGGCACTCATACTCAAAGAATCGAATCGCAATGGCGGGTGGTTAAAAGATTTTTCAGTAAATACAATTATAACCACCCGGAAAACTTTTCAGACATTATTATAGAATATTTGTGGAGAAGGTCAGTGCAAAGAAAAAAAAAGGATCCTTTTATGGAACTAATTAAAGTAATTAACCATGTATATAAATAAATGTTTTTATAATATTATATTTGGTCATTTCTTTTGATCAAACCCTAGTACCAGAAGGTATAAATCACAAAACCGAATCTGTCAACCCCAACTTCCATGTGGTCTTTCCGCTCTTACCCCTAGAGTGTATATGAAAATCCGGAAGCGCGGAGGGAATGCAGCCCTCGCCCGCTGTAACTAAGCGCAGGCAGCGTACGAGCCGTAGCGGCTGCGGCTGGTCGCCGAAAGCGACCAAACAGCTGAAGCTGCGCAGGTGAGCTAGGTGCCTGTGCTTAGTTACGCAAGGGCGAAAGGGCTGCACTTCCCGCAGCGCTGGAGCAGAAGCAGAGTCAAAATAGTGTTAATTCCCACCGTTTTTCCCACCCTAAATACTCCCACATTTCCACCAGGTCCCGAATGTGAGTTTTTCGTCGCCGGACACCCTTTTTTTATTAAACGAAAGCGAATTTTCCTTAAATGTAACAAAACTTTAAAAATTCATTAAAAAAAAAGGGGGGTTTCCGGCACTTTTTCCTTTCAGGGGGAGGTTCCGCCCCCTGTCCCACCCACTCGGCGACCATATATTCATGCAGCAGATTACTAAAGAAAACCCGGAGGAAACAACATCGTAGCAAAGAAAAACATTTTAATCACAATAATATATTGAAAACTACACACATACCTCAAGTCGGATAGGTCACTCTGTGATCCAGTCTTTTCGAGTTTTTTTATTTGAAAAGTTATATTAATCCTCTTGTATATCTCTTCTGTGATATTGCGACATTTTTCATATTTCGGATTCAGAGATTCATCGGGAATTTTTGACCAAATTGCATTTTGTAAGGCTGACATTTTATAAATCTTATAAGAATATTTGCTAAGTTTTTATGTTATATACGTCGCAACCCCAAAAATATTTTTAAAAACACATTTCAATATAGCCATGGTTTACTTGGCTGATAACAATATTTTACAGTTTACAGAACAAAACTACGATTGCGATAAAATGGCGGGATTTGAGAAACAAGCAATGATTTTTATTTCGCAACAACCATATGGCCTCTGTCTTTGTATTATTAAAGCATGTTTTAATGCATTTTCTGTCCACTGCTTTAGTAACTAGATAGTAACTTTATGAAATATTTCAAAACAAAGGATCGTCAAATTCGTAATGGCACAATATTCATTGCTTGAACTTCTGAGAGGTTTAAAAAAATATACATAACTAAGACTAGATAAAAAATGGTTTCTGCACTCTTTGAGAGCGCAATGTAACAATAATAAAACACAAATAACACTAAAAACTAAATAAAAACTACAGTCGCATTTGCGGTGTTTTCTTTTTTTTGGGTAAATTTTTTGACGTTTTAAATTTAGTGTTGCTTGACGTTAATTGCCCATAATTTTAATGAAAAATCACTTTCATATTTAGGCAACACACTTAGTATATATTATACACTTATTTCATCTTCACAACTTTGATAACGATAGCAAAGTACATAAATCGAGTAAACTATCGTTAATTACGCGTAAATTTGAGTGACTTCCTTATTCACGGTAACTGCTTTTGTGCTAACAAAGGAAATTATCCGTCCTTCCTAGATTTTTATGCGGCCCATGTCAAGGAATAATGTTGTATTAATTAAAATTGTCTATTGCTCTTTTCACGGTATATTTATTAAAAATTACAAATACAATAATGCAAAAACAATTCATTAGCATGGGTATATTATTTAATTTGAAATTATAATATTTATTTGTTATTTACAAAGTACATTAAATAACAAATTATCCATGTCGTGTGTCGAAAGCTGGTTTCGGAACGAAAAAAAATTTATGCTCAATTCCCGCCAAATGTTTACAATTGTTTTGACGTTTTCGATTTTCGTATTCGTCGTCTCGTTTTCGATTTGGCTTGAATTTTTGAGTGAAGTTCTTACACAATCCCAAAAAGCTTTAATAGAATTAAAATTATGTTCAAAATTTGTATTATACTACACTTGTAGTTTTTGTAGAGCTTTAAACACGTGCACTTAATTTTTGCATAAATATGATACAAAAGTAATTAATCATAATCATGTCTAGTAAAAAGGGAGGAATAACTAAAAAACATTTGCTTTTAGCTAAACTAGTGACTGGTAAAAAAGCCCCTTGTGTATTTTGTCAACGCAATGTTGATGATGAAATCATTTATGGAAAGTTGTACGCTATAGGAGATATTCAGTGTCATTATTTTTGCGTGGTACGTACATTATCAACTATTAGAAGTCCTAAATACTCTATTAGTCAAAGACATGTATTTATTCAGCAACTGAAACAGAATAAAACAAGTGGTACATAAAAACTAAAGATGAAAATAAATAAGAGAAAACTGACATCAAATAACTTGATTGTACAAGCGACGTGACACTGAAAAGGGCACTGAAAAAACTGAAATGCTATCGCATGATTGCAGTAGTGTACTTTATGTGGTAAAGTGAAACTGTAGCATATGTCTGCTGCATGAATGGGTATAGCTTAATCGGGGAAGTACCACACATAAAATAACAGTGTGAAATAATGTCACAAACTGCTATTCAATCTGGTGTATGATGAGAGTGCCAAGAACCAGAGACCCTTTATACTGGCAACAGGACTTTTCACCTTTGATTCTTAATTGGGACTACTGGAAGTGTCTGGACACTATCCACTTACCATTAGGGGAATAGTGTACTAGTTTGTTAATTCTATTAAAAAGTCTACAGAACTTTCCAATGGATAAATACTGTTTAAGTATGGGAATGTTTACTTGGATACTTTTATCCTAATCTCATCTCATTTGATCAAAGTAGTCTGTCTAAAGTTCTGTTGTCTGATCTTCATTTGTCACATCATACCATAATAAGATACTATATGTATCACTATATTGTGTTAAACTTTGGTATTTTTGGATTAATTTTAATAATTTAGTTGTCATAGCTTATCTACCAATCAGATTGCATTGCCAGTGTATTTCACACCTAGTATGAAATTTTATGCAATTTTAGGGATTCGAACCCGGAAAAGAGAAAGTGTATCAACTTTTCATAATAAACTAATTATTTCAGCTGCTTTCCTGCTGCCTGATACAGAAAGGTAACGATGAAGATGGTCTCTTTGGATTTCTCTATCCAGATATCATTGCTGAAGTTGAAAGAAGTAAAAAGCATGTAAGTGTTATCCTATCATTGAAATAAATCTCTTTAATGTTCATTTGCCATGTTCTAACTGGTGTGTTGATAAATTTTACTAAAATGCCAGCCAGCTCATGCGGTACCTTGAAGATCACTAGCTGATTAGTAACCGCCAGTACGGTTTCCGTCGCGGTCGTTCGGCTGGTGATCTTCTGGGTTACCTAACTCATAAATGGGCAGAGGCAGTAGAGTCCAAAGGGGAGGCATTGACCGTTAGTTTGGACATAGAGAAGGCCTTCGATCGGGTTTGGCACAAAGCGCTTCCTTCCTATGGGCTTCCCAAGAAATTGTGCAATTAGATCACCAGTTTTCTTGCTGATCGGAGCATCAAGGTCGTAGTAGACGGTGCATGCTCCGATTACAAGCCTATTAACGCCGGCGTTCCACAAGGCTGAGTGGTATCACCAATGCTTTGCTTATCAACTATCAATGACATGTTGCAAACCATTTACATTCATTACTATGCAGATGACAGCACTGGTGATGCTTTATACACCGGCCATGCCAATATTTCTCAGGAAAACGTCGCTGAGTACCGGGACAAACTTGTGTCTGAAATCAAAACTGTTCAACAAAGTCTCGGACTGTGTGTGTGTGACCTCAGTTTCAAGACACTCCCCTTGTTGCCTCAGCCAGTATCGGAATCCTTGGCGTCGACATATCGATTGACATGCTTCCATATGTTTGCATCCAGCACAGAGCTGTTCGAACTGTCGGCGACCGAGCTCTTTCCGATTGGCTTGACTCACTGGCACTGAGAAGAGATGTTGCATTTCTGCGTATTTTATCACTACTACCACGGGGAGTGCTCTGAGGAATTGTTCGGACTAATTCCAGCCGCCATTCCAGCCGCATCATTTCACCATCGCACATCGCAACAAAACCCGCGATACCATCAATACCATCTGGATGATTGGCAGACCACCACCGTGCGATTTAAAAGAAGGTTTCTTCCTTGAATAACATCCTTGTAGAGTCAACTACCACCGGAGATTTTTCCGGACCGATACGACTTAAGGACCCTCAAAAATAGAGTATACTCCTTTTTAAAAGGACGGCAACGCATCTGCAATTCCTCTGGTGTTTCAGTGTTCATGGGCGGCGTGTGCGTGCTTGTTTGCCCCCTCTCCTATAAAAAAATATATTTTATTATTGCAGCAAAACTATACAGGAGGTATCCTGTCATATTTGAGTGTTACAAATCAATTTTTCTCATTTGCATATTGAAAAGTATATTTGCTTGTATTACTAGTGAAATGTTTTCAGAAATGTTCTTACTGTGGTCGGGATGGTGCCACATTGGGTTGCAGCGTCAGCCAATGCCGAAAGCAGTTCCACCTGCCTTGTGGTCGGGAGCGGGATGCAGTATCGCTTTTCTACGGTAACTATAAGTAAGTAATTCTTTACATTCATGTTTCTTCTTTACATTCTGTACATTATTTCCTAATGTTACTTCTGGGTTGTGTTGTGGGGATGTAAGAGAATCCATTATCATATTGTATTAGTGGAAGTAAGAAGCAACTATAGGGACTACGGATTAAATTTCATGACAGAATTATAATAATGCTGTATTACAGCAGAGTGGTACTTTAATTGGGAGGGTAAATTAATTATGTCTTTTTTATTCAATTCAAGGTTAATATTTCCAATATGGACCATCGATTTCAAAGCCCATATTGTCGAGTAGGTATCGATACTTTCAAAATATTTGGAACCCTACACTAACTGACGTTTGACATCACATCAATCATTTGTCAAATTTATTTTGTAATTGCGTGTTATTTACCAATTTGTATGAAAAGTTTAAAAATATATATCTCATGAATCGTAAGTTTCCGCAACCTAAAACTTTGCAAAACGCTTTCTTTTAGTGAGTACTATCTACAAAAAAAAATATGGGCTTTGAAATCGATGGTCCATATTGGAAATATTAGCCCAATTCAATTATTCAGTTTTTTTTTTTTAAATAATATTATTCACTCTAATATTTATAATTGAAAATTACCTCATGCTGCAGCATACGGCTGTAGCGGTCAATTTAACCATAGAAGGACAAAGCTCACACAGAATATCAGAATGAAATAGCATAATGCTACTGGGTTTCCTATGGTGAATGTAAACAATGGAGTACAGTCAGCAGAGTACAACAATGCAGTGGAAAAATTTGTCTGCATCTAAGCTCAGCTTAGATTTATATTAGCTTAGCTTTTTTTTATAGAAGAGCGGGCAAACGAGCATGCGGCTCACCCGATGTTAAGTGACTACCTCCGCCCATGATCAACCGCAACACCGGAGGAATTGCAGGTGCATTGCCACAGCTTTTCGTAGTGGAGCCACACTGCAGCTATATTATGGTTTTAGGATGGAACCAACAAGCCGACCAGGCTCAACTGGAGAGGAATCATGCTCTCACTGAATACAAGAGTAAAATACCAGTTTTTTGCTGGTGTGTTTGGTATTGTGAGTGTAAAGAACCGTAGATCCTTTTTACTGGAAACAAAGCATTCCATGTTAGTCCTTAGGGGTGAAACAATCTTTTTTTGATTCGTAATCGAGGATAGAGGGCCACCATGTGCTTGTCATCCTTATTCTATAAAAGAAATTTTGTTTTTACGTCCAATTACTGTTTTTTTTAAATTAAATAAGTGTGACAAACAAGCACACAGTCCACCCGATGGTAAGTGGATGTTGTGGCCCACAGACATCTACATTTAACCTTGATTAAGAGTCAAAATGCAGATCTGTTGTCATCCCTGAGGGCTAAGATAGAATCTAATGTGGGCTATTCCAAAGCAAGAGCCAATAGAATTAAGTTAGCACTCTTACTTACTATACCATCTTTGGCTAAATCACCACTTACAGCCTACCATTTACGCTTACACATTAGATTGAAGGGTAGTTAAGCACTATATTATAATACCTAGCTTAAATAACAAGTGATAAAATTAATCATTTTGTACAACCAACTTCAATACGACCTAATCAGTGTCATCATTACAGCCCTTCGCAAGTCCACTACTGAACAGAGGCCTTCTCCAAGGAATGCCAAAAGGAATCAATGTATTTGAAGTCAATGAAATACACATTATTAAAGATCTCTCTACACGAGGCATCTTCAGGTAATGTAGACTCAACGGCAGCTGACCGCTAAGTTAGCGGCGAGTTTTTTTTTTGCGCCCGAAGCAAATATGGGCAACCCTCCGAAAAGCGGGGGAGGGAGGTGGGGAATGCTCATAGCATACCACGCAGCCGGCTGCGTGGTTATGTGGAGACTTTTACCCACTAAACCCCACCTTTTAGGGACTGGCTTAACGGTCTAACTAGAGATTTCTAAGCCGTATACGAACGCGACCCTCCTTGGCAGAAAGGAGGGCGCATAGCGGCGAGCCGAAACAGCTGTTATTTATACACGCCGACACAATCGCTCCCCACAAAAGTAGCGAGTGACCGCGCCGTGCGATAACAGATCTGCTACTAATTATGATTATTGTTATGATTAATATTTTTAAATACTATTATTATTATTGTTTTATTGGTATTATTATAGTTATTTATTATTATTAATCTTACAATTATTATTAAATATTAGCCTTAAAGATGTTTAACAAAGGTGAAATAGAAACTTTTGTTTGTTCATTCAGCAGTGCATTGTTACCATTATTACTTCTTAAAATCTCTAACTGCTCCAGCACACACAGTCGCAGCCCCTTATTACAAGTATGTAAGACTTCAAAGGAATGGTCGCTAGCTAGGTTGTTTCCAGTGTCCAAGAGATGTTTAGCAAAATGGGATTTATCAGGATTCCAATTTCTGTACGCGGCCAAATGCTCTTTATAGCGCGTCCCGAAATTGCAACCAGTCTGACCCACGTAAACGGCGTGGCATTCGTCACAAACAAGTTTTGACCCGATTTTGACTAATATTTAACTTATCTTTATTATTACAAATATTCCTAAGCGAATTATTTGTTTTGAATGCCACGTTAACGCCGTTTTTCAATAAAACAATAAATAATAGTAGTATTTAAAAATATTAATCATAACAATAATGATAATTAGTAGCAGGTTTGTTATCGCACGGCGCGGTCACTCCCTACTTTGGTGGGGAGCGATTGTGTCGGCGTGTATAAATAGCAGCTGTTTCGGCTCGCCGCTCACTTAGCGGTCAGCCTCCGTAGAGTCTACTTGCCTGAAGATGCCTCCTGTAGAGGCGAAACACGTGTCGTAATATCGTCGATTGTGTGTCTTACCTGGAATAGTGGTGCTGGGACTAGTGGTGATGGAGTTAGTGCATGCAATTGAGGGAGGGCGGGAGGTGCTCTTCAATCCAGGTAAGACACATCATTGTATATATTTAGCGGAAGGTTGCAAAGAAATTTATTTTTTTATTTTTTATTATAATGGATTTCCGTCTGATTCTATCAATTATATGGGACCACACGAGAAGCACCAGCTTTCAGATATCATTAAAATAGGTTCACCCAGAGAAAAGTTATGACGTAACACACATAAAAAAACATGCAGTCGAATTGAATACCTCTTCTTTTTTGAAGTCTGTAAAAAAAGGAAATGTAATAAGACTTTATTCTAATTTTAAGCCATAAAGTCATATTGTACTACACCCTAAATAAAGTCCGTTATACTTATTTTTATGAGTCATTTTAGGACGTTTTGTAACAAACATGCTCCAAAACAGAAGATAACTGATGAAATAATGGCCAAGGTTAAACTTCGGTCACTTTCTCAGAGGAAAATGAAGCAATTGAAAAATCAAGAAATGACTAAGCAAAACCTTCTAGACACAACCACCAGCTGTGAAAATGAGAATAAAATGGTTCAACATGGTAAGTCTTGTAAAGTATTTTCATGAAAAGTCTATATTCATCCCATAGCTGAGCTCACATCTCCTAGGCATTTTTGAATTACACTAATTACAACATAAGTCTTTCAAAAATGAAAGGGTTATGTTGTAATTGATCCTACTGTGTTGTAATTAATCCTGCTATTACTGTGCATGTTGGCACACTGACTAACATGTCTTTGAAATGTGTCATTTATTTCTCAGATGTATAGGTTTGCTCACAATGTTTTCCTTCACCGCTGGGCACATGGTAATTTAACACTTAAAGTTATAATTAACAATGTCATTGGTGTTACGCAATGAAATGATTCATCAATTTTCACAATAAGGCTCAACTTACACTGCTGCGGAATTGAATGGAAGCGAATTTTCGTAACAAAATTGTACATAGTAAAATGAGTAATTTCCACAGACTTCGGCGACAGTAGCTACGGAAATCCTCCAGAATTGCCCGGAAGACGCGCGTCTTCCTTGAATATCAGTGTAAAATAGCAGCTTAATGCTGGTGTATTTTGTCTGGTTAGTGTAGAGTACCGGAGACTCCTTTTACTGGAAACAAGGCATTCCATCTTAGTCTTCATGGGTGACAACACATCTGTATTTTAATTTGTAATTGAGGATAGATGTAGATGTCTATGGGCCACAGCATCAACTTACCATCAGGTGGACTATGTGCTCGTTTATCACCCTTATCCTATAATATAAAAAAAAAACGAAGAACTCCGCCTGTCAGGTCTGCCATTTTTATAAAAATCCTAAGTCTGGTACTGCGCACGCCAATTCGTCTGCCAAGGGTTACGATAACACAAATCCTCTCTAGTTCCCGTAAATAGAAACGAAACTGTCATTACGGTTTCGTAAATGGCTACTGGGATTTTTTACACCTGATGGTAAGTGGCTGTAACCCATGAACGCCTACAACCAACACCAAACATTTAAGGACTAAGATGGAATGCCTTACAGTCTGGCTCTCTATACCCTTCAAATCTGAACACAATTATAGTATTATAATATATATTGTTTAGTTACCATCTTTTCCACAGGAGAAGCTTATGACTCCTTTAGTGATGAAATCCACTTTCATCTATGAGATCAACTTTCATCTCATATCTCATTATTATTATCATTATATATCTCAGTTATATACTGTTATTGGCTAATGAGATGTATTAAGGTATTAAATAATATTGTAAGATGTATTATTATTAGGTATTAAATAATATTGTAAGATGTATTATTATTAGGCATGAAATATGTTACAGAAGAGCAGAAAGAAGAGATGGAGGCAGTTTGTGTGATATGTTACGAGACTGTTGATGGATATCCTACGTTGAGGACATTCTGGCCTCCATGCTGTGCAAGAGATGCGTGGTTCCACAGAAGCTGTTTACAGGTACATCTTTACCACAAAAATCGAATAGGTCTTTAGAATATTTTTTTACAAGACAAAATGAAGAATATTTTATTTAAACATGTTTTTGTTGGCTTTATAGTGCAGTGATTTAAGAATGATTTGCGGCGCTGAGGGCCGAGGGTTAAAATCATGCTTGGAATAAGTATTTGTATGGCTTATCATTAATGATAGCATCCCAAGACTTATTTTGCCGCCAGGGCGGCGCCACTTTAGAATGGGGTGTAATATTTGCCAACTTTCCTGGGCGGGGAAGTTTATTTGATAGAAAAATTTAGAGGTTAATGTTTCTTTCTGAAATATTAGTTATATTAAAAAATAAAATAATAATAAATACTTAATGTTAATTAGATTAGAAATCAATCAACCAAACTGCGGATATTAATTAAAAGTAGATGAATTAAAATTAAGGGCATTATGCTCAGCACTGACTGAAAACCAGTGCTAAAAAAATCTGAAAAAAAAATTAAAAATTAGCCATATTTATATCAATTATGATTAAACAAAAATATAAAAATAATATGTATATAATGATATTGTTACGATTTTGGGGTTTGTGACAGTAAAAACTGCCAATTGAATTGCCAAAATTGACACCTTAATTACCGAACACTAAACAACTTAAAACACAATACACGATAAAACAATTTTGCTACTGATCACTTTAGTTCGCAGTTATATCGCTTCGAAGTATTCTCTTGTATCGCCCAATTCAATACTGACTCGGTCGCGGTCTTTACGCGCGCCTTATATTGGACCTCTTTTACTGAAACATCTAGAATGTTCTAGTACATACCTGTCCTGACTGACTAGGTGTAGAAAGTTCTAGTATGGAATTTTCTAGAAAGATAGACTTTCCTATTTCTGCTACTCGATACTAGATAGCGCTATAGTCCGTTCGCGTTAAGAAAATAGTGAGTCATCAGTGCAACTACAGGGTAAAGGTGTATTCACAGTGGAGTAAAAATTCTATATTTTTTTTCAAACATTTAATTAAGTTTAATGGAAACAAGTTTTCTTAAAATTACTTAAATCACTAATCAGTATCGCTAGATTCTCCAGTTACATTAATAATGAAAGAATTTTGTTCTGGAAGTTCCATGATATCATCCAAATTCCACATGGTATTTTCTTCGCGTATCACGTGGTCGCAGCACTTCTTCCAACAATTAGCGTCTATTAATGCTATTGCGTCATCTAATATTTTTTTATGTCACTCATTTTGAACGTGGAGTTATTGGCACCAACATAATTTTTTATTTGGGCCCAAACCAATTCAATTGGATTAAGTTTGCAATGGTAAGGCGGTAGGCGAAGAATTGTAGCCATTACTTTTAGCAGTCTCATCTATTAAATATTTATTATATTGTGGGGCGATTTCGGCAACTCTCATTAATAATTCTTTTTTTAAATAAGTCATGTCCATGGATTTGCCTTTGCTTTGCAGCCAATCTATTATTTGCTGCTTGTTCCCGCTGGTTGTTGGTATTTTTTCGACTCTTACCGAATGATAGGGAGCGTTATCCATGACAACCACACTTCCCGGTTCTAGCTTAGGCATTATATTAATGAACAAATTAAGGAATCTTTCACCATCCATCTTTTCATGATAGTCTTTTGTAGACTTAGATTCAAATACTAGTAGACCATCTTCCACGCATCCTTTGTCGCCGCCAATGTGCAATACAATTAACCTTTTACCTTTTCCTGTCGGAGCTTTTGAACCGGCTGATAAGCCATCTAGAAAGGCTTGTCTTTTATTTTTTCAAAATTTAATGTTGAACGAGTAACACGCAAAATACACAACCGTTTTGTTCGAAGGCCTGACTTCAACTGGTCATTGTGAACTCGACTTTCTAATTTCTTGCATTTTAATTGGCTGGGGGGCGTAGCCAGGCCGGCGGACAACATTGGCTGGGGGGCGTGGCCAGGCCGGCGGACAACGATGACTCACTATTTTCTTAACGCAAATGGACTATAGTGGTAACTCGCCATGTACCAGGCATTAACTATGACGCGCTACAATATTATACTCTTATATAACTGGGAATAATAAAATAAAGACGTAATTGCGTTTGTCTGTAAAACAAAAGAAACAACACTTAGAGCCTATATTTTAGGTCCTTTTATATCTTACAAAATATAGAAAACATCTTTAATATGAAAAGTGTCTTGCTCACAATAATTATTAATTCTTATATTTTATTATTGCGTGACACAACTGTCTGTTGTGATATCTAGATTTTTTCTATAACACGACAAATACAAACTTACGATCAAAATACGATTTCATGGCAAAACGCAACTAATTCTAGTACCTTAATGCATTGAATAGCATAACCCATGAGGTTATTTCTCTTGAAAAAATCCATCAGATGTCAAATTGAAATTCTCTTTGGAAAGAAACTCTGAAGTCTATCGGTAAATACCATGTAGAACCATATTTTTTTTAACCCGCTAGCTCAGAAAGAACAGCAAACAGTTAATTTAGGAATGGCTCCAAACATAGCACATTTGTTATATGTAGAAATAGATTGGGGCAGAATTGTTCCGCAGTTATTTTGTGAGTTTTTTAGCTTCCCTAACCTCTTCTTTTCTATATACAATATTATTCCTAATAACATTCCCCGTCCTACAAATCTTAAGTCTGTTAAATTTAGTTTACACTCCTTTTGTACGAACTTTATTAGACTTCATATCTATCAATAACATTAAACTATAAATAAAACTTTTTCAACTTTCATTCATTTTATAATAATAATAATAATAATAATTTTGTAAAACTTCCTACGGAAACTAGTTTCAGTTATACTGTGTGTGAATTGCGTGAAATACTTGACACTGGCAGAATCCACTAGTAGTTGCCAAACTACAAAAAAAACAGAAACAAGAAAAGAGCTTATGATGTGAGTGAAGTGATTTTCTTTACATGTATGAAAAATTTAGGTTACAATATTACGTTCTTATTCTTTTGAACCAAATTCCAAAAACAATAAAACATGAACTAACTAAAAAAAAGCTTAAACGGTATTTTATCATCAAATTGTTAATGAGTCCTACTAATAATTTATACTAAAAATAAAACTATATCCTAATATACATGTCGGTACCTGCGCCATTGCACGTGCAGCAGCGCCTATGTGGCTAGTCGGAATTAAAGCGCTTCTACACGGTCGGGACCAACCACCAACCGTCGTGACCTTGGTCGGGTCAACCGATTTTTGTATTCGTTCTACACGGTCGGGTGGTTGACTCAACGTGTCAGTTGTCTTTGGTAAGACGTAAGCTAGTTACTTTTAAAAATGGCTCCTTGCTTTTCTATACAACAAAAAATCGGTTTAGATTTAACGTTTCTATGCTTGAATGAAGATAAAAAAAAGAAAATGGATAAAATTGTGGCTGAAAGAGCTCATTACTTTAAACAAACATGACATGGTACTTTAAGACATGGTAAATCACAGTACAGTGACAAGAATTCGGTCAGGACCTCACGTTCTTTGTTCCGTAGTGCCGTTAAACATCCACCTGCGATGACTGCTAAGCGCGCACTGAGGCGCTCTCGTCGGCCGACAGCGTTCCACACGGTCGGCGTCAACCACGGACCCAACTTGTCGTGAGGGATGCGCTCGCGACCAAGGCCGTCGGACTCAACCAAATATTGGTCAGACAACCGATGTCTACACTGTCCATTTTTACATCAACTCTACCAAGGTCACGACGGTTGGCGGTTGGTCCCGACCGTGTAGAAGGCCTATTATTGTAAACAACACGTGCACCGCAAACCTGCGCATTGCACCTGCAGTGGCGCTCGGATAGCAACTTGTCTCGATTGTATAAAACGGACGGAGCGGCCGCCGTTAAGGCAGTCTTGGCGCTGGCGTGGCACGGTTCACTTTTATCCCGCTACTAGCTCATCCTAGACTATTCGGATAATTAATTCGTGGAAACGAATTAATTATTATTCTCAGCTATTAAATTAGTCTCTGTACAATTTATAGTTGATTACCTGTGATCCGTGTATTTTGTGATTGTAAATTAATTCTATTAAACTACCTTCCTACAACACATAATTATAACTGATTTATTTATTTTCATTGAATCATAAAACGTATTAAACATTTTCTAGTTTGTTAGTTTGTCTATATGAATTGCTGTCAGTTAGTCTCGCTAAAACTCGAAAACCGCTTGATCTTGGTCTTTTTTTTGTGTGCATTCGAGTGGGGTGGTTTCAAGTGCCAATGATTTAAATATAAGAAATACTTGGTTAAAACTGGAAAGAACATACCCGAATACATTGTCCACAAAAACTAGACTATTATCTATTCTGTGAAAATCATTTTTGCCTTGACCTGGCATTGTATTTTTGTGTAAACAAAAATTGATAATAGGTAAAAACAAAAAGTGAGATTGCATGCAAAAAGTTTTGCTACCATCAATTTTTTATCTTTGGTAGATTACTACTTTCTGCTTTTACGAATTCGTCTTCCATGATGCTTTTTCAATAAAATTCGAAATAAAACTCAATAATCGTAATGATAACTTGAAAAATTTCGAACTAACACAACACATTAGCTTGTTCTCTTAATCAGTGACTCAGAACACGAGTAGTGTTACCTTTAGGCCGGTTCAGTGACGTCATGACAGTCTCTAATATGGCGGACAGCGTTTTGCAGATTTGAGGCACACCAAAAAAATATTCTTAAAATTGAATTATAAAATTTATAATGCAATTTTATAAATAGAAATCAATATTTCTTGTCTACTTTTTACAAAATCTATCATGAATATATATTTTTTGATTTATTTTTACATGGTGTAAAATATCCTATTAATATACTTTGATATTTATTAACTTTTTATAATAATATAATATATTATAACATTTCTTTTGTTGACAGCGCATGGCACTAAGTGCCGGAATGCACTATCTGAAATGTCCCCTTTGCAACGAAAAGGAAATATTCTACAAAGCTGTTCTAAGTCAAGGATACTATGTACCAGATCGGTGAGTGCTGTTTTAATTTTGTTACAATTTATCATACCTAGGTAAAATTATGTGGTAGAGCCATACTGCAACTATTTATTATGATTGTGTCTGTTCGACCGAAGTAGGACCGTGACCTCACAGAATACCAGCATAAAATAGCAGTTAATGCTGTTGTGTTTCGTATGTTTAGTGTAGAGAACTGGAGACCCTTTTTACTGGAAAGGACGCACTCCATTTTAGTCCTCATATATCATTAGGGTATAGGATTAATGTATGTTCTTTAAGTTTTCTGTAACTCTAATATTATTATAAACTGGTTTTGTTCAAATACGTTATTCAGTTATATATTTGTACTAGCTTGCCAGGCAGACGTTGTTCTGCCCTTTTTGACGACCCTTTGTCATGTCCCATTAAAAATCCTTAAACTCGAAAAAAATTGTGGGTCACTCATGGACAAAAAAACTATCCTATCTCTCAAGTTGGGCCAAACTGCACACAATGTGCAAATTTTATCGAAATCGGTTGAGTAGTTTACGAGTCCATCGCGGACAAACAACATGACACGTAATTTATATATATTAAGATATTGTTATTTCTGTACTTTTTATTACACCTACCTCTTTTATCTCTACACTACTTTAAGGTAGTCTGTTAGATAATGCCTCGGGCATCAAGTTCGTCTATATACAACATTAAAGTGTATATGAACTTAAATAAATAAATGACTTACTTACTACCCGTGCTGTTAAAGAATGGGATTGTAAATGGCGCAGCCTCTATTCACCTCTCGCTCGCACACTGTCGCTATCTATACTCACGTTGCGTTATGCGTATTTCAGTACGTTCTATAACTTCGGTCCAACTTGTCATTGGAATCAATGATAACCAATTCCCATAAACTAGCTAAATAAAGAGAGAGCTAGAGCTGCGACGCGTGCTGAAAGTTTTCTTCACTTGTTGATATTTTTTTTGTTAATAAATAAAATTTTACTTGGTCCGTTTGCTAGAGAGCTAATCATCTGCATGGCTGAACCAATTGTAGTAAAACTTCACGAATAAATGGAGAGAGTGATCTGGATTAAATTTTATCAGAAAATTTTTGAGATTTTATTCAAATAGAAACATTGATAAGATAAAATAATTCATCTTTAATGATTATCTTAACACGAAATAACGCCACATTAATACATCACACCCAGGAGAAACCAGAGCGGGTCGCTAGTCATAAATATTATTTTAAAATTTAATATACTTGGGTATACAATCATTTTCATATATTTTTTTATTATTCTAAGCGAGCACTTGGCTACAACCCCACCTGATGGTAAGTGGTGGTGTAGCTTAAGATGGTGAAGCGCACCGACTTAACAAAAACCCATTCACTCTTGCCTTGAAGACACCAACACTGTAATCAGATGGAAATACAGATGCTGGCAACTTATCTTGCTTCTTCCTTTGCTGTACGCATGACGAACGCCGTAGCAGCAAACCGTTTGGTTCGAATGCGTGGTAAGTCAACAACGAAAGGGTGGGGACTGGCGAACGCCTAGTTGTACGACGGTGCAAGGGAGAGGGAGGAATTAGATTATGCAATTCCTGCGCACACTTCGAAATGAATTCTGTAGAAAACCGAAAAGCTGGCTACATTGCGCCTGTGTTCGAGGCTAGTAAGATTAGCTTTAACCAAATATTTTCCCATTAATAGAATAATATAACGTTATAACGATATACCGTTATTAGAGAGTTTTCGCTATTGGTACTGTGCATGTTAACGGTACGGGTTCGATGAGTCGCCATTTCTAATCCCATTCTTTATCCGCATGGACTATACACGTAATTAGATCTAAATATTTCATACTCTTTATATTTAGGGATGCAGCGTGGGAGCTAGAACAGAATGCGTTCTCGGAGATATATGAGCGTCCCGTCTCCTGTGCAGCACCGGAATGCTTATGTCCGATGGGAAGAGACCATGACGCTGATTCTGGGTAAGTTACCAAGTTGCTTATCTGCTGTCTCCGCTATTGCCTATTTTTTTTTAAATCTGTGCAGGCAGCTATGCAGGTCTAGAAAGACCAGTATCACTGAGACCTAAAGGATCTATTGTGATCGCTGCTATGGCTATAGTTCACTGCTAAGCCCTATGTCTTCAATGAATATGAATTACTTAGCTGTGAGCAATTTCTCTTCTTCTGGGCGAAGTTTCTCAGTTGAGTGTTACGTTGGCGCATTAGGGTCCACAATCGGTTATCCAATCTAACGTCCGGGTGACCATAGTCGCCAAAAACTTTTTCCGGTTGAACGTTAGGGCGATTAGAGAGGTCTCTCTGACATCTAACCTTTAAACGACTTTTGATCTATAGAATGTTACAAAAAGCTTTATGAATGTTATACTTAATAGCTCTATATTAAAAAACGCGTCTATGGGTTAGTAAAAGGTCCATGCCAGGTAACAGATGGCATTGAAAAAGAAAAAGAAACAAGCGTTGTGTCAAGTTCTGTGTAGTGGCCGGTGTTACCGTGAGTTCTTCATTTAAAATGTAAGTAATAATATATTTATTATACTTTTGTACTAGTGTTATATTTGAAAATAATCCTCAGGATTTTTTCTTTTCGTTTTTCTTCAAGTTTTATAAATCCAAAGTCTGTTATGATGTTTTTATATGTGATGAAGTCGACATGCGATAAATTCGCCTTTGTGTGTCGGTCTTTCGTTAAGTTCCTGTATTGTATATTATTTATTTTAATAAAATATTCCTTATAATTAGTAAAACAGGTTATTAACTATATTTAAATACACTTAAGTGGAAGGAAATAGTGAAAGTAGTAAGGATTTTACGTTTTTGTATTTTATATTCGCCCGGGAGATCATACTCTAGAACTGAGTATGTCGATATTTTAGGTATTCTTGCCTAGAAATACTTAACATTCATATAACTTTATTTGCATTAGTGGATAGGGTAGATTATGTACTTTAATAATTGTACAATAAGTATATATAAATAAAATAATACTGCGATATTAACGAAGAAAATAAAAAAAAATGTTAGGGTTTTTCATCAAAATTTCTGAAATTAATCATTTTTTTTAACCTGTGGTACGTCAATTGAGTAAATTATTATTAACATAATTAAATTCTGCATTTCATTAGCTTTTTGTGGGTGATTTTTATTCAAATTCAATTAGTAAAGAACATTCTCCATGGTAATCGTTTTAGTCGAACTGGTCGTGATCCGACCGTATATAAACATCAACGACCGGGGCCGGGACGTTCAAGGGTATTGTTGCCGCGTCGCTTGGACGTTCAAGTGGTTAAGTTATGTACGTAATAAATGTACATATTATACATAAATAAATTAAAAGATAAAGAAAAAAAATCATATAGTATGCGTGTATGAATATGTATGTGTATGTGAATATATGTATGTACGAACATGTATATATTGTTGCGCGCCTAAGTTGACGTCGGGTACCTGGCACTAGCGCCATCTAGTGTCTGGGACCAGAGCGAGGCAGAATTTTCAAATAATGAATCTATTGCCTCTAAAAGAAAATCTGAACGATATTTTTCGAATTGTTTGACGTTGAACAATTGCAAAAATTTTATTTTAAAATTTCAGAATATCAGCCATTAACTTCTAAGATAAAGAACAAAAGGTTCAAACAAAATGTTTGTATTTTGTCTGAGCACAGCGCACATTGCGTCTCAAACGAGGAGCAGAGTTATTTTGCAATGTGTTTTCATAAATGTGATCAAAATCTGACTCAAATTCAGTACTAACCTATAGTAAAATAAATAAAATAGTAAAATAAAGGAGTTTCAGACGTTTCAGTGTCTAAAACTCCTTTATTTTATTACTGCAATAACCGATATCACCTTGAGATATTGTAAAATATTGTACAAGCAGTCGGTTTTTTCAAATACCCGGTGGAAAATTGAAAGAAAAAAAATTGAAATTAAATGAACGCAATGTGTTAACGACATTCTTGGCGGCCAAGATCGTATCACCGTCCCATTTCTGCGGATGGATAGTCGCACATATACGAAAACAAATTTATCAGATTATCTTTTTGTTCGAATACTGTATTCACAATTCGTGACGTATACGTCCAAGGAGTTGCGGGGGCATTAGGCAATTTTTTGCTGCAATGTGCATCATAAAAAACTACCGTTTTGTACTGTTATTAAAAAAATTAAATAAAGCCTGACTGGCTGAAAAAAAGTGCTCACTTCCGCAATCCTGTTACGAGATTATTATTATTTAGATAAAACTAATGCCAAAATCTGTACATTACACCAAATATGAATGGTTTGGGGACAAACATCTTTAACTTTATGTTGCACTCCATTTCTGACACTGGACGTGACACTTGCACCGTCATAGCTTTGCGCAACTAGTTTTGTGGTGCAGTCATGTTTGTTTAATAATTCCAGTATGATATTAGAAAGTGTGTACTTGTTGTTGTTGTATACTGTGCGAATTTCAGACACATCTACATACCCCATAAAATGGTCATCAATATCGTTTCCATAATAATATCGATGAATCGGACACAATTGCTCTCTGTGGCTAACATCTGGAGTTTCGTCAATAGTAATTTAAACGAATTTTGACAATTTTACTTCCGAATTTTCATTATATCAGCGACAGAATGAATAATGTCATTTTCGATTGTACTAGATAAATAACTCGGCTGTTTGTCGCTTTGTTGATGCTGCATATGCTTTTCTAACACGAGATCGTATTTCGGAAGAAGTGATACAAGTTCTAAAAAATTGCATCTATTTAATGAAGTTTTCGACTAATCGTGACCTCTGAAAGGAAGTTCTTGTTGTACTAAATGGCAAACAATTTCGACTAATCTTTGAAAAACACTATGGTTATGATCAACACGCATGTTGTGTTTCGTAATTTCCTCGGATAACTGGCGCGACAAAGATGTTTCAATCCGATTTTTTACAAAATTACTAAACTAAATTATCGCAATCATGTGTTTTTGAGAACTCGTATGCCTTTTAATGGCTCCAGATAAGTTATTTAAACCATCATATCCAGTAGTATACCAAGCTGTTGTTGGAAAAGAATATGCAGAACCAACAGTACAACTTATTGGTATGTGAGCAGCCAACAATCCATTGTGTTTTGTAAACAGATCTATTAAATTGCCGTTTGTGGATTTTACTCGTCTGAGAAATACACAGATCCGGCGTTGGTTTCAGCGAGAATATGAGCAGTTTTTTCTCGACAAAGTTTAAAGATTTTACTTTTCCTCGCCGGTTAGCACTTCAACACGCTTCAATTCATCACAAAGAACACTATTACCCTCCATTTTCAAAAAAAAAAAAAAAAACCATAAATTTTCAACTCTCAATATTCATTCGCTTAAGTAAACACACAGACTATACGCATTGAAATGTGAAGTGAACTTGCAAACGTATCGCCTGCACGCCCCCGCGCTCGGATCACTTCACACACAAATCCCAGCTTATCGCTCCATACTAATTGCTATATAAACAATCGTAGTTATGATTTCTTATATTTACGCGAACACTACACATTGAAATAATACTAGCTTTTACGGAATTTATCGCGTATATTTAACTTTTTAAATACCCGACGTTTCGAACGCTTTACAGCACTCATGGTCACTGGCAGGACTGAGATGTTCAACGTCCATATGTCATATTCCATAGTCGAGCGTCATTATGTCCATAGTCGAGCGTGTACCTGCTGTACTGCCATATGTTAGAGGAGTCACTGACAAGATTGGCTACATCTTGAAGCGCGCTTCCATCAAAACATACTTCAAGCCGCTGAAGAAGATTGGTCAGTTTTTACCATCGGTCAAGTGTTAGCTCCATACTAGTTGCTATATAAACAATCGTAGTTATGATTTCTTATATTTACGCGAACACTACACATTGAAATAATACTAGCTTTTACGGAATTTATCGCGTATATTTAACTTTTTAAATTCCCGACGTTTCGAACGCTTTACAGCACTCATGGTCACTGGCAGGACTGAGATGTTCAACGTCCATATGTCATATTCCATAGTCGAGCGTCATTATGTCCATAGTCGAGCGTGTACCTGCTGTACTGCCATATGTTAGAGGAGTCACTGACAAGATTGGCTACATCTTGAAGCGCGCTTCCATCAAAACATACTTCAAGCCGCTGAAGAAGATTGGTCAGTTTTTACCATCGGTCAAGTGTAATGTCCCTCTGCAAGATGCAGGAGTGTACAAGCTTGATTGTGAATGTGGTCTCTCCTACATAGGACAAACTAAAAGATCAATAAAAACCCGCGTTAAAGAACATATAGCTGATGTAAAGAATCGACGCTCCGGGAAGTCTGCAGTCTGTGAACACGTACAGGATCGCCCCCGTCACTACATCAGATTTGATAGACCGCAGATCCTCGCTAAAGAACACCGATTCCTTCCAAGGATGATTCGCGAGGCTATTGAAATCAAAAAACATCCTAATTTCAATAGAGAAGATGGCTGGGTGCTACCATCTGCTTGGGATCCTATAATAAATAAAATTAAATCCCAACCTAAGCATACAACTGCAAGACTTCAAGATACCATAAGTTCATACTGCATAGATCGGAACAAAAGTTAAATTTTAATGTATAGTAACCGCGGTTAACTATGACATATGGACGTTGAACATCTCAGTCCTGCCCGTGACCATGAGTGCTGTAAAGCGTTTGAAACGTCGGGTATTTAAAAAGTTAAATATACGCGATAAATTCCGTAAAAGCTAGTATTATTTCAAAATCGTAGTTATATTTCATTATAGAACATTTTGCCACAGGTTAGAAAGGTAGCGGTCGTCTTCTCGAAAGTGCGGTAATAAACCCACGCGTGCGAGAGAGACGACTAATCGCTCAACTAAACTCCTTTTCCATGACAGCAGTATCGCGCAGTTTTTCCGCGACCGGGGTCCATCTATATTGCTTTGCTTTAATTAATTTTGATAGTCCATTGCGTGTTCGCTTTGAGACAGAGAAAACACGAATCAGTGTATTTCGAATTGAAAACAATCATCCAAGTGTTGACGTTACATAAAAAGGATACGAGTTCATGACCTGTGTAGAACAGAGGAGGGTGCGGGAAATTTGAAATAGTTTGAAACAGTTTACGAGTTGTTTTATTAGTTGATATTATTGATGTTGATAGAGCAAGCCCGGCTCTCGGCTTCTATGAAGGCTTCGCCACTGGTTCGTGTGACCAGAAATCTGGTATATGCTGGTTTCGGTCCACGAGGCGACCACGCGGTGGGGGCAGTCAGATACTCTTACGATAGCTGAGGTAGAGACTGATTCAAGTTGAATAGATAAAAGTCGAAGGACCAGCAGATAATTGCATGCTTCAAGACTAAATGAACTCACCTGATGTCTTCGGATGCGTGGTGGCGAGACGTGCTCCACATTTCAACAGCTGCGTTGCGGATTTCTTCAACACTTACGGGGTGGTGCTCTAGCTCTAAAGGATCTAGCGCGTGGTGATGGGAGAACATGGCATTTCGCGTAGTTTACGACGCAAACTAAGGAGTCCGGTGCCATGCGGTTGAGACAACAGCGTGTGCTCTTGACTGATGTTGCATGACGATCTAGTGCGCGTTCGATGTTGCACGATGACTCGCTCGTCGACAGAGGTTCATACATAAGGTCACGACATGCAATTCCCGAGGTGAAATAGACTACTTAAGACTTAAGGTGTAAGAATATCCACTACATTATTACATCCCGTGAGTGTCGAAAAAGCGCCAGAGGTATTACAATTAAAATTAAAAAAAAAACTGCAGTTGCCAACCGCTTGCCAATCGTGGTTACTATAGCAAATATTTCCTCTATGAGGAAATCTATGGGGAAGACAGTGGACTTTTATAGGTAACCAACAACAATGATAGGTTTTCACTAATAGATATACAGTAACATAATCTTTCGTCATTTAAAGGATACAGCACAAATACGACCACCAAAAATATGGTGTCTAATTAAAACGTACAACATGTGGATGCGCCAGGGGTCGCTGTCTGTCCTTATCTTAAATAGTGTTTACGAGAGGTTCGTGACAATAAAAACTGCCGATTGAATTACCAAAACTTTAATTGCCGAACACCAATTAAAACTCAAAACACTAATAATTAATCACACTGATCACTTTAGTTCACTTTATTTCGCTCCGAAGCTTCGCTTGTACGCCAATTCATGCCCGGTGGCGGGCTTCAACGCCTTTATATACGCCTTTTTCACCGATACATCCAGAATATTCCAGCAAATACCGGCCCCCGATCGACCGGTGCAGAAAGTTCGAGTGTGGAGCTTTCCAGAAAGCTTAGTTCTTCTATTCGACACTAGATGGCGATGTTGGTTGAGAGTTCAGTCATGGCATTTTCTGGAAAGTTCTCCTCGATCTGTTCCCCGACACTAGATGGCGCTAGTGCCAGGTACCAGACATCAACTTAGGCGCGCAACTCTAGTCTATTCCACCTCGGGAATTGCATGTCGTGACCTTATGGGTAAACCCCTGTTGACACCCTAGTGGCAGTCCTACATTGGGTGCGCGCTCATGTGGCACTTGCTGTGCAACTCAAATCGGGAGTGCATGCTGTTGTGGCCCACTGCTCGTCACACCGCATACCGCAAATCGCTCGCGCCCTGTCACTAGCGAACTACGTAGCACCGGACTCCTAGTTCGCGTCCTTTTATACGTCGTGTCCCATGTATTCCATGTCCCATGTTTTCGACTTACGTGGTAGAGCCATGCTGCAGTTATATTAGTAATATAGTTGTAGCGTGAATGGGTCGGCTCGACCGGGGAAGGGCCACGCTCTCACAGAATACCAGCGTCAAATAGTAGCTTAATGCTGCAGTGTTTCGTAGGGTGAGTGTAGAGAACCGGAGACCCTTTTTACTGGAAATGACGCATTCTATCTAAGTCCTCACGGGTGACAACACATCTGCATTTTGATTCGTAATCTAGGATAGATGACTATCGTCTTTGTAGTGTAAAATGAGGTATACAATATGTAACGTAATTAACGCACACCCTCAGACACCCCAATTACTATATTATGTTATAATCATAATACATACACTGAATTTTTAGTTAAATATTTTTATGCACTGATTATTTATCGAATTAGTTATAACTAATTCCGGAAGAATGTTGTGGTCACAGTACAAATCCACGAACGCAAAGACTTTAATGGACTTGAAATAAAGTTCATTTTTCTTTATTTTTATTGAATGACAGATTTAGTAATAATACAAATAAAACTGCACTCTTAACCCGCTAGCTTTAAAGGTCTTGTTGCCTTAAGTTACGGTCCATTTCAGTTTGTTTTGATTGTACAGATTTAGTGTTGCTGTAAAAGTGATGGGAATCGATTCAGTAAACGATTTTGAATAAACTACTTTCTCAGAGTGCGTTAATTATGTTACATGTTGTGTGTATATACAGTGTGTAAGTGTAAACACCGTTGTCACTGAAACCATCGGTGGTTGGCTTTAATATAAAAATATTTATCCGACTTTTTTTTTAAAAAAAAAAAACGCTATTTTCTTTTATAAAATTAAAAAAGTTTCTGTCCGACACCGTCCGTAAATTCATGGATACCCTATGCGCTCGAGTGACGTAATCACTGTAAAGATCACCGCCCGCCCTTGCTGCCTACACAACATATCAATATAAACACAATAGTACACATAACCTATGATGAAACTTTTCCTTCATACTTTCACACTTGCTTAGGACAGATAAAAATTTCTCCCTTTGTGTTGCGTGACGAGTCCAAATTAATGTAAGTTAGATTTAACAACAAAGAAAATTAAACATTAATAATAGTAAATAGTAAATCATTAGGTAGGATTTTTGGCGTATTTACCGCATACCGTACCGCGGCCCTGGAACGCAAAGGGCATTTGAAGCATAAGCTGACCGTTCATAGTACGGAAAGATCAAAGCGAGGTCAAGACAAAGGATATTTGGTTGGAAAAGGCTAAAGGCAAAGGCTAAAGTTGAAGGCTTGATTGATTGGTTATTTACACTTACCTATTAAATAAAATCCTCTTAAATGAATTCCATTTTGATCAGCTTTTACATTAATCGTTATAGCAAATAAAAGGAAGCACAACAGTGTCATTTCTCTAAATACACTAAGAATTCGCCTTTTGAGTTCGGACGTATTACGGAACTTAGTTGCATACACTCAGCGCTTCACTTCTCCCCAAAGATAAAAGTCCAGCGGGTAAATTCGGTTCATCGCCCAGGAAACTCCTCAACCAGCATAGCCCTGATTTGCAGCTGAAAATGTGCAGGGGCACCGTCATGTTGGTAGTAGAGGTTTCTCAGTGAACGAAGAGGCACATTTCCACTGCACGTTTATGTAGGACATAATTACAAACAAAAAAACACACTCGCTCCAAAACTACAACCTAAAGCGACGTAGAATGTCGGCACTGCGCGGCGCGGTTTTAAATCAAATTAACACGTAGATTCCGTTCCGACGCAGCGAAGGGACTGACACACTGACACAGTGACATTGGCCTTGACCGCGAATCGCTGCCGCTACCTACGATATGTTAAGTTTTTTGTTGTGAATTCAGTAGGTATATCCCTACTTGCCTAGGGTGAAATAATTGTAAGAAAAAATTGAGATTTGACTAAAAAAAAATGTTATTTTTCATTGAAATTACTTTCTATAAGTGAAACCAAACCACTGGTTTCAAGGACAACGGTGTTTACACTAACACCCTGTATATATACTCGACTTCGTAAACACAACAGCGTATAGGTTAGAACACGCACGGCTTGCGAAATACATACGCATTGATATTGTAATATTAAAATATAATTTGCATTTAAATTTATTCAAGTTATGACAACACTTCTAAACCACTAGGGAGAAGTTATAACGCGTACGACTTGGTTAGCAGAATAGTAAAGAGAGGTTATAATGCGTACTTGCTAAAAATACATAAGCATTTATTATTGTCTGTATAAAATCTCTACTTACCTAACTCCATCCAGCAATATCCGGAACTTGTGCAGAAACACTGTCAAGATTCATTATTGTTATTCTTTTTTTTATTATTTATTGTGTACAAAAAACTTGTATACACCCAACAAAAATAGTTGTCGCGACACCACACTGTTCAATGCGAAATAGAAAGACGAAACGAGAATTATATGAGAGAGAGAGAGTGAGAAAGACAGAGAAACACGCGCACGCCGCACGGCTGACAACTATAGCAAAAAGTGTCGTTACAACTTTTGGTCTTAATTTTTTCCGTCTAGCCCTCTCTCGCAACGCGCGATAAGGAACTTCGTTCCAATATAATTATTTCAAGTAATTACTTGCAGGGCGTGGGACATAAAGCTGTGCGTATTGTGCGGAAGCGCCGGCGCGCACGAACAGTGCCGGCAGCGGCAAGACTCGAGCCGCTACGTGTGCGCTGTATGTGCTCCAGTGGCACCCCAGGACATCGACACACTCGCCGACTGCTTGGAGACAGGTAAGCCCCACCGCTGGCCGCAAGCCCACTCATATATTTAACGGCGTCAACATTTTTGAAACAGGAAAGATATGGAAAGATGTGTTGGCTGACTTCACAACATGTCTACTAGATGGTAAGACTTAGGACTCCTGCGTAGGAATTAATTTGGTTGGGCACCTTAGTTGTTTTACGTGATCCATGCTGCAGCTATATAATGGTTGTAACACGATCGGGTCAGCTCGACCGGGGACCACACTCTCACAGAATACTAACGTGAAATAAAAGCTAATGCTGTGTTTTGAATGATAAGTGTACTAGAGACTTTTTGTACTGTACAAAAAGTCTCTAGTACACTTACTTACTTACTGTACAATAGACCAACGAGGCAGTCACCACAGAGACCACAGTATCTACTTATTATCAGTAGGACTGTTTGCTCATTTGTCACAGTCATTTTCCGCAGTTGCCCGATACAATACGCCAACTGAGAAGGGACTTCTTAGGAAGAACTTCTTAATAATGAGCATATTAAGTAATTCAGTTCGCGGTTTACTTCAAATGGCCGAGTGGGAGCGGCGTCACATCGTTGCAGCCAACATTTATAGAATCAGCTGATGCGCGCCTTACTTTAACAAAAAGTAATTTTTCTCTTATAAGTATTTAGGCACTTTTGATATTTATTTTTGATTTTGACTGCCTCGTTGGACTAGTGGTTGTAGTAGTGTGACAGCTGATCATGAAGTCCTGGGTTCGAAAAAAAATCAGTTTATTGAATTTTGCCGTCAAGAAATTCTCAGTGGTTGCCCGGAATCAGGAAGTTGGCGGTGTCTCAACCCCGTGCCTCGGAAAGCCGTAAAGCCGATGGATGGTGGAGGTTTTTTTCGCGTATGTCAATGACCTAAAAACGTCCAGTACTAGACCTCCCAGTGCTAGTACTGCCCACTAGTGCAAGATCAGCATATACTGGTTATTAGTAAAGTACTTGGTCGATAAAAGAAAGAGATTTAAAATAACAGCGCTTCTCATTGCCACGCTTTCATTATTAATGACGTTGCGTGTTGCATGTTTGTAAATAGCAAAAAAATGTGAAACTGAAAATGGTAAGTAGTTAAATTACCTTTCGCTTTAAATTTTATTTTTGTGATTTCGATGTATCCTTCATATTTTTACGGGCTTAGGACCATCTAATATCCTGTAGTTGAGGGGAATTACATGTTAAATTTTATCTTGTATTATAATGAATTGGATAAACTGTATAATGCAACATCTTGGCGTATTTAAAAGATCAGCAACCGACAATCGCAGAACTTGACCGTTAGCCACCTAAAGCTCTTGTATGAGAGCGAGGTCAGTGTTGCCCTCTGCAAAGCAAACCACGACAGAAGCAGCTGCTGTATGATGAAGATTTACCTGGAAGACCCTCGTCCTACTCTTAGGGTTAGCCATTTATAGATGTGGGGGGGGGGGGGGTTAGGGGTTGTTTTTGCCTAATTCAACTTATTTACAAACTACACTGGTTATTATTTAAAAATAAAAATTAACTTTTTTGCGATATTGCAGTAATTGTTCAAAACGTCCACCGTTTCGAGCGAAGCGTGTCGCCATCACTTTTTATCACATTAAATGCGTCTATTATTCGCACTGGTGACTGGGAGACACTGGTGATCTGTACACAGGCTTTCACCTAGTATGTATAGACACCAGACTCAGCCCGTAGTGTGCATTGTTTATACTCTAACTTGTTAATTTAAATTGTGAGAGTAAATAAATTTTATTACTATTATAAGATTATTGGTACATGTTTATGATACACACGCGGAAATATAATACGACTACGACGTAACGTCACGCCACAGCTAAGCACAGATAACTGAAGAGTTGAAGGCGCGGGGCGGCTTTGCCCTTGTTTAAAATCATATCCACCCTAACCTGTGAACCTGCGAAGTGACAAGTTCAAAGATGTCTACTAAATTTATTGTTTTATTTCCGCTCGTAAAGTACGGTGGGTATGATTTGAGTTTCGATAGATTTTAATTGATTTATTTATTTAATTCAAAATTTATGTTTTTATTTTTTGTAAAATATTGGTGTCATACTATTTATATATTGGCTCTACTTCGTTCATCTGTTACACCCAAAATTTTTGCCATACGGTAAAAATAGTCACACAGCATATGTTTGCCCCAATTTGTGTTGGTAGACATCACATATCAGTATCATAGAAAGGAACGGGTGAGAGCAAGAGGACTGTTGAATTAAATTCGATAACTGACTGATATACTGAGACGAATTGACTGTTACTGGCTATTTGACTTATTCTATGCTAAGGATGGTTCTTTTGAAAGAATATTACATAAAGAAATTATTATATACAACAATGAATTGAGGCAGTTAAAACTAAACTTCTAAACTGTACATTAGAGAGTACTAGAGGGATTTCTTTCGTCTTGTTTTCTGGAGCTCTTCTCTGCCGCGAATGAATCTCGCCGATCATCATCATCATTACAGCCCTTCACAAGTCCACTGCTGAACATAGACCTCCCCCAAGCAAAGCCATAAAGCACGGTCCTGAGCCACCTGCATCCATCGACTTCCTGCATATCTTATCAGGTCGTCACTCCATCTAGTGGGGGGTCGCCCTACACTACGCCTATCGGTACGAGGCTGCCACTCGAGTACCTTTCTTCCCCATCAGTTATCGGTTCTTGTAACTATATGGCCGGCCCATTGCCACCTCAGCTTACTAATCCGTTGGGATATGTCGGTCACTCTGGTTTTACCAGTTTTTTAATCTCGCTGATAGAGTGCCCTATTTATATATCTGCGGTGGTGGTCACGCACTTGATGGGCTCCCACGCTTACAAGCGTGCTGATTGATCGCGCTGTGCTGTCCGTTTACGTCTCGGTGTGGGGTGTGCGGGGGTGGGGTGTGGGGGGGCTCCCCTCGCCGTCCGTAACAATCTTCATCAGCTGCACTACTGCTAGGCATAACCTCAAGTCATTTGAAATATATCAATACGCATTTGGGTAACGCGAAATAATAACCCATTTTTCGAGGAGCCATGTGCTTTTGAGTTGCTGTTAAATTACTTTTCTATTTTACATATAGGAGCTGGTGCTTCCTTGGCATTTATTTCAAACAACTCACATGGGGTTAACGATTGTTTTTTTTTAAGAATATTAACAATGCTATAAACATTACTAATATTCCCCTTAACCACTCGTAGTAAACTTAAATTGCTTGTGTTACGAGTGTTTCACGACAGTAGTCGAATGGTGGATTCGAATCCACGACCTTTTTGAGTTCGCGGTCCGCGCCATGCCATTAAGCTATTGTCGCTTCGACATTTTACATTGGCCATTAGAAAATAGTTCACAAATTCGTATTTACTCCCACAGTGGTCCTTCAAGCGGAGCCTCAGGAGCCGGAAGTGCGTCGCGGCGTGCCGATGCCCAGCCGGATGTCGCTGCGCCGCACCAAGCAGCGGACCTTGGCCAGTGAACGGTAAGACCTACACCACTTTACAACATACACATCCGCTATGTCCAAATTACAATATCCTGAAGGTCTTGCGCACTAGATGGGTGGGGCTTGTAATCATCATCACCATCATCATCATCATCATTACAGCCCTTTACATGTCTACCAACATAGGCTTCCCCTAAGGAATGCCACAAAGCATTGTCGTGAGCCACCACTTTGATATGTGGTAGAGCCACGCTGCAGCTATATTATGGTTGTAGCACGAATGGTTCAGCTCGACCGGGGAAGGACCACGCTCTCACTGAATACCAGTGTAAAATAGCAGCTTGATGCTGCTGTGTTTTGTATGTCGAGTGTAAAGATCCGGAGACTCTTTTTTTTTACTGCAAACGGGCCTTCCATCTTAGTCCTCAGAAGTGACAACGCAGCTTTGTTGTGATTCTTAATTGAGGATAAATGTAGATAGATGTCTATAGACCACAGCACCCACTTACCGTCAGGTGGACTGTGTGCTCGTTTGACACCCTTATTCTATAAAAAAAACCTACATTAATTGACTTCCTGCATGTCTTACCAGGTCGTCACTTAATTTAGTAGAAGACCACTCCATACCTCGTCAATTTAAAGCCCAAGTAGAAGTCTAACGTATAGACTCGGTGTATTAATATTTACTACCCCTTATAGTCTTGTGGGTGCCGTAAGAGACGATAGAAGGAAACATACTAGAAAATAGTCAACAGCGTTGAAAATCAAAGCATGGCAACTATGACAAAATACTACTATAAGGCAACGTATGGGGGTTGCCATGTTCTGCAGTGGTGGATTTTTTTATAGGCTGTGGTCGTAATGGTTGAGCTCAGTTGCAAAGAAACACTGAATTTTAATTTTGTTCTAGATGGTTGTAGCATGAACGGGTTGGCTTGACCAGGAAAGGACCACAAACTCACAAAATACCAGCGTAAAATAGCAGCTTAGTTTAGTTTAATTTACGACGGGCTGTTTTCCGCAACTCCACGTCTAAACGCGTATTTTGCGTGTGGGCAGGAATAATATGCATATTCGAGCCATGATATCTCCCCGAAGAAGCTCAGCAGTCCCTTGATGTTGCGAGCAACTTCGGGGGAGCGATCCCGGCGTGCCGAGATGTTTAGCCCTGTATGAAGCGACTTCTGGACATGTCAGTAACAATGCACAGGGGGCTGTCAGTAACACCTATGGTGAACAAATGTTTGTTAAAAGAGTCATGTCCTGTGATAGCACTTGTTAATAGCAGCTTAATGCAAGTGTGTTTTGTATGGTGACTGTAGAGAACTGGGGACCCTTTTCACTGGAAACGAGGCATTCCATCTTAGTCTTCAGGGTTGACAATTGCATCTGTGTTTTGATTCTTAATCGAGGATAGATGTAGATGTCTATGGACCACAACAACCACTTATCATCAGATGGACCGTGTGCTCGTTGGTCAACTTTATCCTATAAAAAAATATGTCGAAATTATTGATTTTCAGTCAGCATATACATTTTATTAAAAGTTATTTTTTTCGATGAGAACTTATCTCCTGGGTGACATAGCTCAATATAACTAACTACAGATACTACATATTAAATTGACTTACAAAACTTTGATATTTTGATACAAAATTGAAAATTGATTTACAAAACTGCCTCGTTGGTCTCATGGTCATAGAGCGGCTGTTGGTTATGAGGATTTGAAATTCTCATTAACAGTCAGGAAGCATTTGGTGTCTCACCCCCGCGCTTCGGAAAGTACTTAAAACTTTAGGTCTTCGCCTGATCTCTCCCCGATCGTGTCGCATTGCCGTCCATCGGAGTATGAGAGTGAGGCAATAGAGAGTGCACCTGTGCTTGCGCATACACTTGGGCACTATAATCCTGTCCTGCGCCGATGGTCTTTGTTGAGACTGGCCTCCGAGACCGATATTCGGTCTGGGGGACATTATTATTATTACATATGAAATATGCCAGTTCTATATTATGGCATAATAATATGCAGGCTGCAATTATACTAATATAAAAACATTCATTTTCCAGAGCTTCAAGTTCGAACATCGAAAGAAATGCGGTGGCAAACAAAACCGAGAAGGAAGAAGCAGGTATATTAACACTATATTATTTAGATTTAATTTGTGCTGGCGGACGGATGTCCCGAATGATTGGCGATCTGCGGTCATTGTGCCTTTATATAAAGGTAAAGGTTCACATTTTGACTGCGGGTGCTATCGGGCGATCAGCTTGACCAGTTTAGCAAGTAAAGTTTACTCGAAGGTTTTGACACGTAGGATGCAAGAGAAATCGGAAAGATTCTTATGGGAGGCACAATGCGGATTTAGACCTGGAAGAGGATGCACGGATGAAATGTTTTCTCTCCGCATGATCACGGAAAAGCTTCTGAGTGTTAACCAGAGGATTTTCTGTGCTTTTGTGGATCTGGAGAAAGCATTTGATAAGGTTATAAGGAAGAAAATGTGGGAACTGTTGCCGGAATATGGTGTGGATGGTCGATTGCTAAGGGCTGTGCAGTCGCTTTACTATGACTGTAAAGCCTGTGTGCGGGTAGGGCATGACCTGTCACCCATGTTTAGCGTCCAAGCGGGCGTAAAACAGGGTTGTGTCATGTCTTCCTGGCTGTTCATACTGTATCTCGACAGCTGTTTACAGAAGCTGAAAAATAGCTGTTTGGGTGTGAAATTGGGTGACATTAAAGTAAATTGTCTGCTGTATGCTGATGATGCAGTGCTTATTGCACCATCAGAAGCAGAACTGCAGGCATTAGTCACGTGTATGAAAGAGGAATGTGAAATTAAAGGTCTCCGTTTGCATGCTAATAAAACTAAGGTTCTGGTATTTGAAAAGGACGAAGAGAGAACGAAATGTGAAATATGGGTAAATCAGGAATGTCTAGAACAGGTAAATGAAATTGTATACTTGGGGAGTGCTTTCAGCCGGGATGGAAGACGTGATTTAGATGTCGGTGCCGGTGTCGCTGCCGGAAACAAAGTCAATGGTGCCCTGAATGCATTAGTCAAAAGGCAAGGCGTGGTGAAGAGTGCACGCCTTGCACTACATAACGCAGTGTTGGTACCGACTTTGTTATATGGCAGCGAAACCTGGGTATGCCAGAAGAAGCATAAAAGCAAGTTGAATGCAGTGGAGATGCGATCTCTTCGTAAAATGTGTGGCGTTACCATAGCCGATCGAAAGCGAAACGAAGAGATTCGCAATATGGCAGTATTGAAAGATGACCTTATCACAAAAATTGATAGGGGCGTACTCCAATGGTTTGGGCACGTTGAGCGAATGAGTGAAGACCGAATGGTGAAGAAAATATATAGAGCGAAAGTAAATATTAAAAGGTGTCGAGGTAGACCGAGACTAACTTTCGAAGACCATGTGAGCAAATTGCTCGAAGAGGGGAAGGTCAAGAGTACTCGGATACCTAGACGTGCATGTATGAAGAAGTTAATGAACCTGAAAGAAGCGAAAGAGGTATGTAAGGATCGTGACACTTAGCGATCTGTTCTCTCTGGCTACCCCGTTAGGGATTGTGCGTGAAGATAAGTAAGTAAGTAAGTATATTATTTAGAAATCTTTATAAAGGTGATGTTACGTCAATTGCAATAAATGAAAATTCAGTTATAGAGCCGTGGTAGCTCAGATAGCGCTCGCTGTAAATTTCACAGTACGCGAGTAACCGGGGTCTACCTCCGCCGGCACCAATGAAATTTTTAAATGCAATTTTAGTGGTGAAAGAAAACATCGTGAGGAAACCTGCATGTCTGAGAAATAAGAGAGAAAATATTTCGGAGACGTGAAGTTCGCCAACACGCATTGGGGCAGTGCGGCGGACACTTCCTTGTTCTGAAACTCTCAGAAATGAGAGGAGGAAATATTATTTTTTTTTTCAAAAAAAAAAACATCTAAAAAATAATTTTAATGAAAATAAAACTAATTTTCAAATTGTATGTGGTTTTATTATAGGAGTAAGAGGATTGTCAAAGACCCCGCATTACCGATACTCGTGTGAGTTATATGAAATAAAACCACATACAATTTGCAAATTATTTTTTTTTTCATTAAAATTATTTTTTTAATGTTTTTTTTTAAATAATTCTTTCTATATGCTTGGATACTGATTCTAACATACTTAACAGGAACCACAGGGTTTTTGTTACATATTGTATAGGCTGTTACTTTAAAAGTTTTTCAAAAAAAGTTAATTTTTGTCTTTATGTCAAAATTAAAAATGTTATATTTTTAAACAAAATTAGTACCATTTATCTATATATATATATGTATGTATGTATGTAACGTAATTAACGAACACCCTCAGACACCCAATTAGTATATTATGTTATAATCACAATACATACACTGAATTTTTAGTTAAACATTTCTATGCACTGATTATTTATCAAATTAGTTATACTAATTCCGGAAGAATGTTGTAGTCACAGTACAAATCCACGAACGCAAAGACTTTAACGTGCTTGAAATAAAGTTCATTTTTCTTTATTTTTATTGAATGACAGAATTAGTAATAATACAAATAAAACTGCACTCTTAAAAGTCTTATTGCCTTAAGTTACGGTCTATTTCAGTTTGTTTTTACTGTACAGATTTAGTGTGACCGTAATTTACGTAGTTTTAATTATTTTTGAGATCCAATCCATGTCCAAAATGAAAAAAGCTGTAGTGGCCAACCTGTCTGCCAAATAACCGGACCAACCGATTTTGATGAAATTGTGTGTGTGTGGACGGACCGATTTGGATGAAATTTTGTGTGTGGACGGACCGATTTTGATGAAATTTTGTGTATGTGGACGGACCGATTTTGATGAAGTTTTGTGTGTGTGGACGGACCGATTTTGATGAAATTTTGTGTATGGACGGACGGATTTTTATGAAATTTTGTGTGTGTGTAGACGGGTCGATTTTGATGAAATTTTGTGTGTGTGGACGGACCGATTTTGATGAAATTTTGTGTGTGTGGACGGACCGATTTTGATGAAATTTTGTGTGTGTGGACGGACCGATTTTGATGAAATTTTGTTTGTGTGGACGGACCGGTTTGGATGAAATTTTGTGTGTGGACGGACCGATTTTGATGAAATTTTGTGTGTGTGGACGGACCGATTTTGATGAAGTTTTGTGTATGTGGACGGACCGATTTTGATGAAGTTTTGTGTGTGTGGACGGACCGATTTTGATGAAATTTTGTGTGTGGACGGACCAATTTTTATGAAATTTTGTGTGTGTAGACGGGCCGATTTTGATGAAATTTTGTGTGTGTGGACGGACCGATTTTGATGAAATTTTGTGTGTGGACGGACCGATTTTGATGAAATTTTGTTTGTGTGGACGGACCGGTTTGGATGAAATTTTGTGTGTGTGGACGGACCGATTTGGATGAAATTTTGTGTGTGTGATTAAGTTGCTTCGCAATTGGACTCGGTAGGTGGCGCTGTTGTTGAGATTCAGAAATCACCCGCGCGACGCGGGATCGGATTTTGTTGAAGGCACCGTTTATTGACCCCTATCGACCTTTGTCTCGAGCAGTGATTGTATATAGATCATGATAAATTACTAAAACTAAATAAATTTTCTGTGGCTAAACTACTAACGGCCTTACTCATTTATTGTATATAACGTAACGCCATCCTGTATATAAACCAATGGTGCGTCTTTTAGTGATCATTTGATTCTGTACGCCTGGACCGTTAGAGGTAATATTCACACAACGGCTGCGTTTAGCAGAAAAAAGCGCTAGGAAGCGCTTGTAAGCAAAATGGTGATCGTAAGCGGTAAGCGCTGTCAAATGGTAAATAGCTATTTTCCTCTAGGACACGAAGTTAGTTTTAACTGGGGAACCTAACCTAATTTAAATATATCGCCTCTTTACAAGAACAACGTGACATCTCATAAAAACGTATTTTTTTATTATTTGATATTCAAAACCGCGATGTCGAATTTTATTATCTACAAAAACGCGGCATTTTAAAAGTGAATGTTCGAGGAGCTATTAGTGAAAGAGACGACACGACCGTGGCAAATGGTGTTATCACGTTGTCTCTTTCGGTGTGGCGCACGACTACGACAACGCGACGCGTTAGTTTGCCCCGCACGCGAAACGAGTGAAGTGCTCCTGCTTTTCACAAAAAACGTGGCATCACGAGTATACCACGTTTTTAGTGCAAAGGTATGTTTCCTGTTGTTATTTACTTTAACTTGAATAACGTGATAGTACTAATTTAACTCGTTTTTGTTGTAAAACTCGTGAGTATTTAGAATGAGATAATGAATATTGACACATTATTGATGAAAAAGTTACAAGTTTTCTTTGTGATATCTTTGAATGTAACCATGTTGTTGATGAATCGTTTTCAAATACTATGGGTTATTTTATTTTACATCATTATTTTTGAAAACCTTTAAGTTTGGGTTTATATTATGCTAAAATGTTACATTATACATGCTAAAATAAAGTAACTTTTACGAATTTGTTTTTCAGATGGCATCACGATCTAGGATGTTAGTTCAATTAGCTACAGGTGTTAAAAATAATTTAAGTGTACTACTAAGTCATTCAAACTCTCAGATAGATATTTTAACACAAGACGAGAATGAAAATGCCAAAAGTTCGACCCATACATTGCAGACATCAAAAGAAGGTATTTTATTACTTGTACTGATATTTTTTTTAGTTATGTTCCTATAATTTCATTATTTCAATTCTTTTTGTAGACAAAGACATTGCATTAAATTCCATCCGACCTCGTAGTAATTCGACTAGTAGCAGCGGTTCCTCTAGTTCTAGCAGTTCTTCGAGTTCTAGCAGTTCTTCATTCAGCAGTTCTTCAAGCGCCAGTCTATGTATCAAGGTAAGTTAATTTATATCCCACTAGTCTCACAAAATTCGAGGGTAATTGATAAAGTCAATACCACACCACTACACTTCAAGAAATTGATTACATTTATAACGTTTCAGACAGCGACGACTCGGTAAAGGATCCTGATTATGAAGCCCAACCAACAAAACATGCTGAGTATTCTTCTGATACTGCCGAGGAACAAAATATCACTACCAACTATACAAATATTTCGGATGATCATAATTTGCTAACATCTAATATGGTTTCAATAAACATTGAAAACTACGAGGAACCACTTTCGTCTACAAACGAACATGCTATAGTATTCAACGATCCTGGTGTCATAGAGAACAGTGAACTTTCTGCGATTGAAAACGTAAGCAATGAAAATGCTGCAAGTCCAATAGTGTATAATTCTAGTCCAACTAAAACTGGTAAAAAAAGAAGACTAAATGAAGCAAACTGGAAAGTTAATGTAGCTAAACGACTAAGAAATAGTGGTAAGCCTTATCAATCTACCAAATCAAAAAGAAACATGCCAAGTCGTGAATTGAAACCTTCTTGTAAAGATAAATGTAAATTTAAATGTGGGTCTAAATCTAAATACAGAGGAGCAAAGACAGACAATTTTAAATGACTATTGGAGCTTAGGTGCAATAGAAAAACAATGGACGTTTATTGCTAATAACGTAGACATAGTCATCCCAAAACAACGTTACGTTAAATTTGATTCGGATGGAAATGTAGCAACTATTAGAAACAACAACAACGCTTTCTTTTGGACTATTTCGGGTGAAAAAACAAGAGTTTGTAAATTGTTTTTCAAAAATACTTTGGGGATTAATAATCGACCCATAGAGACTGCTTTGAAAAAGAAAAATAGAAACACTAATATTTCTTCCATGAAAGATAACCGAGGTACTCATTCAATCCATTATGCAGTGGACGAAAGCATTAAAAATGGCATCAAATTGTTTATTGAGTCTGTACCAAAGATTGAGTCACATTATATCAGGGCTAACTCAAAACGAAATTATATTGATGGTAGTAAAGCTGTCACAGATCTTCATAGAGATTATGTGGAATAATGCAAATCCCAAAACGTCCCATATGGAACCTATATTACATTTTATCTTATTTTCACACAAGATTTTAACATTTCGTTTTTCACTCCTAAAAAGGATTTATGCGATATATTCGAAGCCTATAAAAACATTACAGATGAAGAGAAAGAATCTAAGAAACAAGATTATGAATTACACCTTAAGGAAAAGAATTTGTCTCGTATTGAAAAAGAAAAAGATAAGAACAACAAAAATATTTTAGTAGCGGTCTATGATCTTCAAGCAGTGTTTCAATGCCCCAAAGGAGACGTCTCAGTTTTTTACTACAAGTCAAAACTAAATGTACTTAATTTAACAATTTATAACTTACAAAATAATTCAGTTGAGAGTTATGTATGGGATGAGTCTAACGCAAATAGAGGTGTCAACGAAATAGCTACCTGTGTTTACAAATACCTGGAGAAAATTTCCGCAACGGCTGAAGACCTCTATGTAGTCTTTTATTCGGACAATTGTGCCGGACAGCAAAAAAAAAAGTTTATGATCTCAATGTACACTTACGCAGTCAAAACTCTGCCAAATCTCAGTTCAAATAATCAATTAAATCAATTACACACAAATACCTCGTTAAAGGACATACGCAGAACGAGGGCGATTCAGTTCACCCTCAAATAGAGAGAGAAGTTAAAAGGCAACTGAGATCAGGACCAATGTATACACCTGACGCTTTTATCGGGGCTATAAAGGCGGCACGGAATAAAAGCGAGCCATTTCATGTCAATGAAATGTGTTTCGATGATTTCTTTGATTGGAAAAGTATATGCACTCAAATGAACTTTGCGATAATGAAAGATGAAGACAATAATACTGTGAAACTGGCTGGACTCAAGATGATTAAAGTTCAAAGTTCTGATCCCGATGCCATATTTTTCAAAGAATCATACGCTGAAGAATTATTCAAGAAAGCTATAGGTGGTGAAAAAAAATAGAAATCGTAATAGCCAAAGCATTCATTTAGATTTGCAAAAGGCCTATCTTCAAAAACCTGGACTAGCAGAGAGAAAAAAAGCTGATCTCATGGATTTGGTCAATAAAAACCTCATTCCTAGATACCACAAGCCATTTTACGAATCGTTGTAATAAGACTGATTAAGTACAAAGATTTTTTGAATTGTATTTTTTAGAAATATTTAATTGCTACATTTAAAATGATAGTATTTTTTATTAGTATTAAGAGAATTTGTGATTCTATGTTTATGAAGGGTGACAGCAATGTTCCTATTTTGAATTTCTAAGTACTATAAAACTGTGTGCCATAATTGTGTTAGAAGACGTTAATTACTGTAACTTTAAGTAAAGTTAACTTTTTTATTTTTTTATTTGTATGAAAGTAATTTTTTAGTTACCTTATAATTTTAATTAAAGCGAGTACTAAGTACTATGTGATTGATTGATCTCTTATTGATTATTGTGCCTTAAACTAATTTCATGGTGTAAGTAAGCCATTGTTTTCGTAAATTTGTATTTTTTAAATACAAGATCTTTATTTTGATACTGTGTTTTATTTAACTTATCACACAGCCTTACACCTAAATTTAACATTTTCAATGTGATATATCAATATGTTACAAGCATTTTGTGATAAATTTTCATCAAAAACGTGACATGTTTGCCTGTGTTTTTTTAAATCAGTTTTTTTTACTTATTTCTTATTGCACTGAGTTTTTTTGCTTATTTTCAGAAAGCACATTAATTACCGCAACAATTTAATTGTTTTCCGATAAAAAAATAATCAATATTTTAGAAGTTATCAACGCTTAAATGTTTAAAATTGCTCTCCTGTAAAGTTGTGGTTTAAAAAATATCACGTTGTTCTTGTAAAGAGGCGATATGTTTGTAAACTATTCATATTAAAAACTTACCAATCATGAATTTTTAATAACATGTATAATATGTTTATTCATGTCATTATGTTACTTGAAACTAATTGCAGAAAACAACTTGTAAACTCTACTTCTTCTTTTAAATTATGGCTTCTCTTGATAGAATTCCATTCCAGTGTCAAATCAGTCATGGAAGTGACAAGTAAATGATGGTTGAAATAAGAGTTCTCAATTTAATGAGTGGGTTCACAATCTACAACAAAAGACGTCACATATTTAAAATACCATCACCAAAGTTGAAGATTCAAAACAAACAAAATAAATAATCAAAATGGCGGATTGCGTCAGCGGTACTGAAGTTAGCAAACGTGTCCTGGCCGAAAACTGTTTAGTTTCGCCATTTTGCTTACAAGCGCTTCCTAGCGCTTTTTTCTGCCAAACGCAGCCATTGTATTTGTTTTGTTGAGACGATGATTCATATGGATGATGAAATGGTTTTGTGCTAGAATAGTTGATCACCTTTGACACTTTCTGTTTTGCTAGTCTAGTAGTTTTAGGCCAACAGCAACAAGATACGTAACGACGTGATCATTATTTGCAGAAAATTATGGCTTTACAAAGATGAAATCTTTATTTAGTGCACTGCAACGAAAAATCATAGTTTTTAATGACGGTTTTTAGAGCGAAGCGTTTTAGCGTTTAGTTTTAATGTTCATAGCGGTTTTCGAAAATATGCGCTAGAGTTATCTTTCAGGTCGAATACAACCATTATTATAACCTAAAATACTTTATTTTAAGCGTTATTATAATAGAATATATAGTCTTTTAGTGCAACCCAAATTCAAAATTACGAAAATATTTCATTAGTTTGATGAATTATGTTTACATTATGAAGCAGAATAAAAGTTTATGAAATGATATCTATTTTATATAATAAATATTTTACAATTATATTTCGTGCCAAATCGATTGAGAAAAACGGACTCTGACCTCAGATATGAGCCGAGTGTCAAAAGGCGTAACTTACAAAATCTCAATTTAGATGTGATAACAATATTTAAATATTGATATTATTTTACACTTCTAGGTCAGCACATATGTTTTGTTTTTTGTTTCTTAAGTAATATTGTCTGTGGTTCCTATAAACATCGTAAAATCTTACGGTATATCGCGAAAAATGTGTTATATTTTATATTTAAATTTATGGTAAGTAACGCAGTAATTCATTTAATAACAGTTTCATATTAAAATAAATATTTGAAGCAATATAACTCGCCGGCCTTTCTCGTCAAATTCAATATTATATAGAAACAAAAATAAAGATCTTATATAATATTGAAAATAAAGTTTTATGTTTTGAATAAGTACGTACTTATTCGGTGTCGTTATCACTCGAATCTTTATATGTGTTATAAATTAATGTTTTTGTTGTTAAATGAATAAAGTACTTTATAACAATAGATGATTTTTCTTCTACAGCGATCTTTTATATAACTTTTTAATAAAAGTTAATAAACATATATTATATCATAAAAAAATCATTATAAATAAAGAAAGTACTACATATAAAAAGTGCCTATATATTGAAGGTTTGTAGACCCTGGTTAAACGACCGAAAGGTCCGTTTTTCTCAATCAATTTGGCACGAACTATATTATTTACTCAATAGGGTAAAAATTTCCATATATTAGCTTCCGATTTCTATACACTATGCCTTAGCACCGATTTCATAAAGCTATTATATCGAAATTATTTTAATCTTTTAGTTGCAATATATAAATGCTTTCAGGGGCTTATAATAAACCCTATACTGTATTCTGTCTCATTCTCTCGCGGTCTTTTCAACCGACTTCAAAAAAAGAGGAGGTTCTCAATTCGACTGTATTATTTTTATGTGTGTATTACCTCAGGTCTTTGTTCTAGGTGAACCGCTTTTGAAGATTTTTTTTATTTGAAAGCTGGTGTGCCTCGTGGCATCCCATATAAAGTTGACCAAGATCTGATTATTTTGAGTTATCCTTTAATAATGCGTATTTAATTGACCTCAACTACATTGATGATGTTCTCATTTTATTCACGGGGGGTGACCATGGGTGCTGGATAGCACCCGAAACGTCGGGTATTAAAATTGAACACCATAAAATCCGTAAAAGTAGTTTAATTCAATTGGTTTATTATTTTAAATTGGATATATTTTTTAGTATACTGTATTCACTTAGTTACTGTAAAAACTTTTAATAGGAGGCAGAACTCGTTTAGGAGTCTTACTACAGCCAAAATATAGCAGTGCTTACACAGCTGTGTTCCAGTCCGTAGGGTATAGGGAGCCAGTGTAATTCAATTCAAAACAATCAGTTGCCTTGTTAGTCTAGTGGTTGTAGTAGTGCGAATGCTGATCATGAGGTCCTGGGTTCGAATCTCGGGTCGGGCCAAAAAATCAATTATTTTGTTTGTCCGTCAAGAAATTCACAGTAGCTGCCCAGAGTTAGGAAGGTTTCGCTGTATCACCCCCGTGCCTCGAAAAGCACGTAAAGCCGTTGATCCTGCGCCTGATGTCTTTCCGGTCGTGTCGGTTTACTGTTCCATGGGATTATGAGAGTGAGGCAATAGAGAGTGCACCTGTGCTTACGCATACACTTGGGCACTACAATCCTGTCCTCCGTTGAGGCACGCCGCCGTGACCGAAATTCGGTCTGGAGGACATTATTATATAATAACAAGTTGTGAGGCATTCCGTCTTAGATCTCGGAGGTGACAACGCATCTGTAGTCTTTTTTGTTTGAAGATAATTGTAAATGTCCATGGTTTGCTAGCCAGTTACCATTAGGTGGTTTGTAAATTGTCACTTTATTTCCAGATGAAATCCCAAAATCCGATATCACAGCGAGCCGACTGGAATTGAACCTGAAACCACCGAAGAAACCACCCCGGGGCATCCTCGAACCTTTGAACATGTTAAAGGACATAGAAAACATATTGATATCCCCCCTCAAAATATTCGAGCAAGGATTGTACGAGAGGATCTCTAAAGTGGGGATAAAAGAGTTGAAACTGGACTCGAACCAGTTAATCGAGCAGATGAGGCAGAGGTTCAAAAAACCTAGGCCGTTGGTTGAGAAGAAGAAAATTATCAAGTGAGTATTTAATGTAAGGATTTCTGTTTAAATTTATTTTAGACTGTTGATAACTTTAAATACCAACGGATATTTTGAATGGTCAATCAGCAGTGATATTATATATGATGTAGTGGCAATTTGAGGGATTTTACGTTGTAGAGCCATGCTGCAGCTATATTAATTGTATAGTTGTAGCACGAATGGGTCGGCTCGAACCGGAAAGGACCACGCTCTCACAGAATACCAGCGTCAAATAGCAGTTTAACCTGTTCGCCAAGCGAGCGCGCGACATGTTATACTCCCGTTCGCTCGGGACCGTAATGGCGGGAAAATTTGCAAATTAGCAAATTTTTTGCTATATTGCAAATTTTGCTATATTTTCACTTTGAGACAATATTTATGGATAAAACTTACAGGAATTCTTGTTGAATGTATAAACTATCGAATAAAATTATTTTTGGTTGCTAGAAATTGTAATAAAATACGTAAATTACCCTGTATAGCATAGTAGTGGTATATATTTCAATTTTAGTGACAAAATTACTACTAATTTGAATTCTACACTTTTGTTTTTAGAGAAATTTATATGAAAATGTTTGGAAATATGTATATTTTTATGTTTTATGTGTTTCCATTCGTTACTCATACCAAAATATTAAAATATTAAAAAATTAAAAAAAAAAGTAATAATATTTTATCTGTGTGACATTTAGAACAATATTTCTAAAATAGTTTTGTGTGAATTTGAAATAAATACAACGTCAAGTTATTTGAAATATGTAAGAAAACTATTTTTACTTACATTTTACACTAAAAATAAATGAGAATTTGAAAAATAACACATTTATGACCCAGCCGCCATAATGGGCTTTCCAGATTTTGAAGCACTTTTGGCAATTTACTTTTCACTTTTTATACCACAAATTATATATATATGTGTTTACTATATTACAAGGAATATAAGAAAGTATAATACTTTCGTTTTTAGTCCAGACACAAATATAAAATTCTATAAAAAAAGACGGAGCACCTTCATCAAAACTTGATACGTGGTAGAGCCATGCTGCAGTTATATTAGTAGTGTAGTTGTAGCACGAATGGGTCGGCTCGACCGGGGAAGGACCACGCTCTCACAGATTACCAGCGTGAAATAGTAGCTTAATGCTGCTGTATTTCGTATGGTGAGTGTAGAGAACCGGAGACCCTTTTTACTGGAAGCGAGGCATTCCATCTTGGTCCTCACGGGTGACAACGCATCTGCATTTTGATTCGTAGTCGAGGATAGATGTAGATGTCTATGGGCCACAGCATCCACTTACCATCAGGTGGACTGTATGCTCGTTTGTCACCCTATCCTATAAAAAAAAAAACGACACGTGGAACGCCGAAAGTTCAAAGGGATTTCTTTTTTTTTTCTAAGAAACATTGCCAGGTTATGGCTTAAAAGAGCATATCTTTGTCTTTGATACTATTATCTATTGCATAGTGTCTTTGGTTTTGTTTAAAACGAAAAAATAGTTTTTTCATAGGTACACACGTTTACATAATTCTGATCAAATTAGATCACTGCTTGGCGGACGTAAGGTAGGTATTGTACGATCAAAAGTGCGCATGGCTTGGCTTACAGGTTAATGCTGCTGTGCTTCCTATGGTGAGTGTAGAGACCCGGAGACCTTTTTACTGGAAACGAGGCATTACATCTTAGTCCTCACGGGTGACAACGCATCTGCATTTTGATTCGCAAGAGAGGATATATGTAGATGTCTATGGGCCACAGCAACCATTTACCGTTAGGTGGACTGTGTGCTCGTTTGTCACCCTTTTACTATAAAAAAAATCACTACCTCATAACAACCCGGGGTGTCGTATGAGGCGACAAAGAGAAATGAAAAAGTAGATATAGGCAGCAGCCTTCTTGTGATTAACTAAAAACGATCTTGGGGTTTGTGACAGTAAAAATTGCCGATTGGATTACCAAAATTGACACTTTAACTATCGAACACTAATTACAAGTTAAAACACACTAATAATAAAACACAATTGCACTACTGATCACTTTAGTTCGCAAGTTATATCGCTTCGAAGTATTCGCTTGAATCGCCCAATTCGATACTGACTCGGTCGCGGTCCTAACCGGCCTTATATAGCGAATCTTCGACTGAAACATCTAGAATGTTTGAGTACATATCGGTCCCGACTGTTAGTGGGTCCCGGTGTAGAAAGTTCTAGCATAGAAATTTCTAGAAAGATCTTGGCTCTGCTAATCGATACTAGATGGCGCTAGTAGGAACTTGCCATGTACCAGGCATTACTTATGGCACGTAACTATACTATATAAAATAAAATAAACGTATGTGTAGATTACACACGGTAAAAGTGAAACCTCCAGAAAAACTAACTTTGAAAGAATGAGACTAATGCATTTATGTAATTAAAATATAATAAACTCTTTATTTCTATTTTTTTTTCCATCTCATTCTCTCGAAGTTTAAGTCCCATGGATGTATATTTTGTCTCTTTTTAGTGTCGCGTTATCGTTTCGTCGAGCTTACACAATAATTCTAAAGAAGTTCACTTTAAATGCCACCACGCTTGGCAAGCGGGTTTATTTGGCAGTGTGGCAACTGTGGGCAATATTTTTACTGTGAACAACTAAGTTGCCGATATTGTATAACTTGCATAACAAACAATTATTACGATATTGTTAAATGAAGTTAATTATTGTTCCAAGAGCATTTTCAAAATGCAGTTAAAGTGAACGGGTATTTTCAATTTTGTTATTACAGTCGTTATCATACTACAATGCTCGCACTAAGTGTGTGAAGTGTGCTGTACAAAATGTTGTGACCTAAAAAATAAGTAAAAATTGGTTAACCCTGCTGGCCATTCCTGGAACTTCCCGCTAATTTCAAATACAAAGCTCTCGAAATTCACCAAATTATGTTGCGAAATCTTAAATCTTCTTTAATCGAAAAGTTACGTTAAAAAATGTTTTTTTTTTCAAATTCTTTCTCCTTTGGTATCTCACGAACTAATGAACCGATTTTTATTTTCCAAACGGCATTCGACGTCATTTTTTTGATTTTAAGAGATGATTAGTTTTGAAATCGATCGGTAAAACCGTTTAAAAGTTATTTTAACGTTTTTTTTTTCAAATTCTTTCTCGTTCGATATTTCACGAACGAATAAACCGATTTTTATTTTCCAAACGGCATTCGACATCATTTTTTGAGGTTAAGAGCTGATTGGTTTTTGAAATCGATCGGTAAAGCCGTTTAAAAGTAATTCCAAAAAACCAGTCCGTATTCGTGCGAATCAGTTCATATTATCACCAAATTTATTCCACATTGAGATCTTTAGAACGCCGCAAACCGCATCTCAATCGATCAAGACGTTCAAAAGTTATGAAAGGTTTACATACTTACACACACATGCACACACACGCGCGCCGATCGCACACACACGCGCGCCCGCGCACGCGCACACACGCACGCACGCACGCACGCGCACACACACGCGCACACGCACGCACACACGCACGCGCACGCACGCACATGCACACGCACGCACGGCGCACACGCACACACGGCGCGCGCGCGCACACGCACGCGCGCACAAACACACACACACACAAACACACACACACACCACCACCCCCCCCCCCCCCCCCCCCAGGGGACACACACAGGTACATACATACATCTGTACGGACGTTCACGTGAAATTAGTCGGAATAGCTTCCTGGGATCTCAAAACGTAGAGATCTGATGAAAACTCGATTTTCGAAAATCTGGATGAAATCAATAACTTCCCTATTTTTTAAAATTTTCAATTTTCTTAGCGGGAAGTTAAAAGTGGTACGTGCACTGTGGTGTTCAGGTATGAAGGGGAAGGTAGAAGTGACAACACGTCTGTAGCCTTTTTCGAAGTTTTCTGCAGGTGTCCATGCACTGCCGTAGGCAGTTACCATCAGGTGGACTATGTGCTCGTTTGTCAACCTTATTCTATAAAATGAAATAACTTTATACACTACTCTTTCTCTTTTCCAGCGACATATTAGAGAGCATATTCGAGAGTCTACACAAAGACAAAACGAAAACAAAAGAGCCTATAAAAGAATGGAACTCACCGAAGAAATGCTCCGACAGTGAAATTGAAACCATTGAGGTGATTATTTACGTCATTTATAATACTAGTTGGCATAACATTGTTCTGTACTTTCCGGTAGGTGGCGCTATGTGTTTCACTTCAAATTTATTCCATATTTGTATCGTGTAAATACAAGATTAATAATAACTCGATCACGCCACCTATTTAACTAGTCGAGTATTTGTGAATTTCTTTTTTAAACACTGAAACGTTCGACAAATGAGCACACAGTCCACCTGGTGGTAAGTGAATGCTGTGGCTTATAGACATTACATCTATCCGCAACTATGAATAAAAATGCAGATGCGTTGACACCCCTGAGAACTGAGATAGAATGCCTTGTTTCCAGTAAAAAGAGTCTCCAGTTCTCACCATAAGAAACACAGCAGCATTGAACTGCTATTTTTCGCTGATATTATGAGAGTGTGGTCCTTCCCCGATCGAGCCAACCGATCTCTTTCCTCTATGCTTTAAAAAAGATGCTATGTAAGAATATGTAACCCCCCCAATATTCATCTCATTGCTCAATACATGCTCCTTTCATTTTTTTTAAAGAATATTAACAATGCTATAAACATTACTAATATTCCCCTTAACCATATTGCCCTGCCATTAGGCTACTGTCGCTTAATTTTTGAGAGGGTTTTCGAAACAGAAGTGCGAGTCTTGAATATCATCGAATTATTTCTATTTCTGCAGACATGGAATGACCAACTGTTTTATCCATCCATTACAGCCTATAAAGGTCCATAGCTGAATATAGGCCTCCCCGATTGGAGGATTTCACTTCCCTCATAGGATGTATCATTCCTCTCTCTCATATCCTCATTTTTCCATAGTGGCCACGCTTGGCAGATGGGTTGTGCCATCAGTGTTGCCAACTTGACGGGTTTCCCGTTAGATTTTACGAGACATCTAGGTTAGCTACGGGAAAAAATTGTGTTTAACGGCTAGAGGATTTTTTAACGGGACAACAAAGATTTGTTTTTTTTGGATTTGTTTTCGAAATAAAAATAATTTGGAAAAGGCAAAATTTAAATTATAAATTTATTCATTTTTTTTTTAGTTTAAAAATACGAAAAAATGTGCAATACAACGAGTGATTGACACTTGTCTACCGTACTTGACAGGATTATAGTGTTCTCTACAAGGGGAGCTAAATTTTAATGTTGGCAACACTGGGTGCCATCCCGTTGAATTTTTAATATTTTGAGTTGTTATCAAGATGATGCCCCAGATGGTGACCCATCCGTTTCAGTTTCTCTCTGTCGCCTCTTAATACACCCATGGGACAGTATAGGGAAATAGATATTTTTACACTGCCTCTATATTTCATTATCCAATACGGCCTATAAAAGTTCACCGCTGACCATAGGATTATCCCATAGACCATAGAATACTATAATACATACATAATACACATACATAATATACTATACTAATGGCAAGGCGCGGACTGCGAACTCAAAAAGGTCGTGGGTTCGAATCCGCCTTTCGACTACTGGCGTTAACCACTTGTAACACAAGCAATTTAAACTTACCACGAGGAGAGGTTAAGGGGAATATTAGTAATGTTTATAGCATTGTTAATATTCTTTTATAAAAAAAAAATAGTACGGGGGAGTGGGCGGAGCCCGTGTAGCCACTAAAACGCCACTAACACGTAAATTCACACGTATAAATGTCAACACGAGATGTGTTTTGACGTTACATACGTTTCCAAATTTCGCATACAAATTATTTAAAAAATGCCAAATTGCACCCTATTTACAAATAAATATGTATTAAAATTTAAACGATTTTTTTAATGATGATCTGGAACATTAATCAAAAGTCTAAAATGTTTAATATTTATTCAGTTTGTCAGCACAGCGAATCGGGTTTGGCGACGCCAATCCTCGTACAAAATAAAGTTGATAGCCATTCTATTGTGCATTATAGTATTCTATGCCATAGATTGTCTTATGACGGAGGGGGGGGGGGTTCCTAAGTTGCCACGCTTGGCAAGTGGGTGGGCAACCGCAGTTTTTTATAATTTTGAGTTGCCATCACGAAGATAATGAATAAGAATAATAATAAATAAGAATAGAATAGAATAATTTTTGATTCAATATTGATTACATGTAAGAATTACATTATTGAAAGTAATTTTTTTTTTCGGGAAAAGCCTCTGTCATGGGAAGTACCAACAAGAAACCCAGCGGGCCATTTTTTTTTAAAATAAATTTTACAATGTGTCAATGGTCACAAAATATTTACAAAATTTATTTTAGAAACAGCTTGGAAGCGACCACCTCATTCCAACGGGTTATTATCAGCCACACATTTATATTATCCCCCCTTTTTATACAGTTTTTGTTTAATTAAATATTTAAACTTGGTAATACAGAGAACTTGTATATTTTCTGGGACTTTGTTGTAATAGCGTACATGCCCCAAGAATTAATTACTGACTTTGTGGAGTCGAGAAACTGCTGGCCGTCTCCTGATTTGTTTTTCTTTGTCGCCTCTTACAACATCTTACAACACCCACGGGGCGAAATGGGGTAATTGATATTCTTACACCGCCACTACTAAAATTAAATCTCATATTAAATTTCAGAAAATTTTGATAGAAAATAACAATCCCACTACTGAACAAAACAAAGTGGACTTCGAAGGCATAGACACTAATGAAAACCCACCAATTGTGCTAAACAAAGAAACTTTAAATCTAATTGAGGATAATGCTATGCTTGTTGATAGTGGAGATGTACAAGACATTGGTAAAGAAATAGAGAGAGATAGCGAAAGAAAAGAGACAGATAATTCTTCAAACAGCACATTTCACCTGCCCCCAGAGTTTATTGCTGAAGAGAGCAGCAATGAGAGTCTTGCAATAGTCGACACACCGAAGAAATTCAAGCCGGTGCACATACAAAAGGACTCCAGTATGGAGATTTCAAAAAACAACGAAACTGTCAACATTGACGTTGTTAAATTAGAAGAGACAGAGACCAAAAGCGATTTTATAAATAGTCTTGATATAAAAAGTCCATTCAAAGCAAATAAATGCGCTTTTAAGTTCAGTCCATTGGACAAAGAAGTGCTGCAAAGCAATAAACTCGATATTGATGTGGAGTGTTTCAAAAATCACTACCTGAATGAGATTGACAAGGACTTCAAATGTACGTTCAACCATCAGCATGTGGAAAATGAGAAGGCAGACGGTAAGCTGACAACTGCCATCGATTTTGCTATGAATGCTTACAAAACTGAGAGAAAACAGCGGGCAGCAGTTAAAAGAAAAATTTTAGAACAGGAAGCAGTTGCAAAGAAGAGAAGACGCGTGTCTCCCAAAAAGAATGTCCACATCAAATGTAATCTGAAATTAAAGTCAGATGTTCGACTAAAAAAACTGGAGCCGACGTAGAATCTGTCGGTTTAAGTGTGAAGGAAAACAAACCGAAGAGATTGCAGAAGCATAAAGTGTCCTTACGAAACAAGAATATACAAGTGAAGATCAAATGGAAAAAAGAACAGCTGCGGTTGAAAATTACAGAATCTAAAAAGAATGTGAAACATAAGAAAGTGAGGAAATCTGCATCGAAGACTCTAAAACAGTATGTCCTGAAATATTCACAGAACGCATACTCCAACAAGGATGTGATAGGAAGACCGGATCATGAGGTGTCACCGATCAGGAAGAAACATGTGAAATGTGAAAAGACACCGGATAATTTAGTGCAGACGTCTATTGCAAGTTTCTTTAAGGCTAAACACCCACCGAATTAAGTTACATATACAATGTTATCTCGACAACTCGAATTTCAAGGGAAATGCTAAATATTTTGACAACAACATCTCATAGACGGGATATTTGCCATAGTTGCAACGCTTGGCAAGCGGGTTGGCAACCGCAGTGTTTTATTATTAGTTGTTATCAGGGAGACGTTGCTGCCCATCTCCTGATTGGTTTCGCTCTGTTGCCTCGACACCCACGGTACACAAACACAATAGAACAGAAGGGACAAACATTCCTTTTGGATTTCATTTTTTTATATAGGATAGGATGACAAACGAGCACACAGTCCACCTGATAAGTGGTTGCTGCGGCTTATAGACATCTACATGTATCCTCGATTACGAATCAAAATGCAGATGTGTTGTCACCCGAGAGGACTAAGATGGAATGCCTCATTTCCCTTAAAAAGGGTCTTTGGTTCTCTACACTCACCATACGAAACAGCAGCATTAAGCTATTATTTTACGCTGGTATTCTGTGAGAGTGTGGTGCTTCCCCGGTCGTGCCAACTCATTCGTGCTACAACTATACTATTAATATAACTGCAACGTGGCTCTACCACATATTGGTTATTATACATTCACTGCTATGATTTCAGTGAATTCCAAGTAAGACGTCATTATATGTTATTAACTTCCACTTACGGAGTTTGCTTTTTGTAACTCGAGAATCTAAACCATTTTTGAATCAATTTAACACACACAATTTCACGAAAATCCAGCCATTCAGGTAGCATTCAGTCATATAAAAATGTACTATTAATAACCTCGCAGCGAAATAACGTTTTGTTTGAGTTACAAAGACTAAATAATTCGAGATACCACGTTTAGTGGAAGGAAATGGCAATTTATTTCATCTTAATGAGGATAACGACTTAATGAGGTTCGAGTTATCTAGATTCCACTGTAGTTTTAATGTTGTATTGATTAGTTTTAAGCAAACCTTTCAGCGTTTATATACGTCCCAGAGCTGGGCATAGGTCTCTTTATTATTTGTGAGATAGTTTTAGGGTAAGTATATGTCCGGTCCGCTGCCTTAATCCATGTTGACAGACTAATGCCGAGTTGCTATATTTAAAAATGTTTCGTTTTCTTTTATAAGCTGTTTTGCAGTAAAGTGCACGAAAACCCTCTTATTTAAAACTAGCTGGTAACTGGCACATTGCTGCCGCTGTAAAAATATTTGAGGAAATATTGTTTTAAATTTCGAAGAGTTATATATGTATATTGTTTAATTAGGAATGATAATACATTAATCAAGTTGGATATATGTATATGTGTAACTTTCAAATAAATTTGTCGGTACGATACGTACTCCACTTACTGTAAGTTAATTTTACTATGCCTTGTAACGTTAGTGCAAGTGCAAGCAATAAGTTGACAAAGTTTTACCGCAATCTGATGGAATGATATGGCAACGCGTAAAGTACGAACAAACAAACATTAATTTTATACAGGGTTATTTTGAAATAACCGGTCAAATTCGCGAGAAGGTTCAGAATAAATAATATAGGCAAATCGTAAAGAAGAATAAATATAAAAAAAATCTCAAACATTGTGTCCTATTTATTTTTTTAATTCTTACTGCGTGGTACTGCATTATTTTAACTGATTTTACTGCGCACGCACACTCGTAAGGGTCGACCGGTAGGCAAAAACGTTGTTGCCCATAAATCACATTCAATTTAGGATAACTGTGAAGTGGATGGTTCGCCAATGGTAAGAGTTAAAGAAGTTAAAGATCTAGGCATTCGGTTAAATAGTGAATTATCATTTAGAGAACACATTCTCTATTTCTTTAAAAAAAAAGCGTACGGAAACTAGGGCTTCATTCTTCGCACAGTTCACGGTTTTACTAACATTAATGTAATCCTGTATATTACACTGGTAAGAAGTAACATAAGTAATAAAATTGCGGTGGTAGGTCAGATGTTTAACGTAAAGTCACATTACGCGAGCAACCCGGGTTCGATTCCGGGTTCGGGAATGAAATTGTTAATTGCATTTTTAAGTGCTGATTTACCACGTGCTCGGCGGTGAAGGAAAACATCGTGAGGAAATCTGCATGTCTGAGAAATAAAAAAAATTATTTCGATGACATGTGAAGTTTGCCAACACGCATTGGGGCAGCGCGGCGGACTATTCCTTGCCCTAAAACCCTTATAAATGAGAGGAGACCTGCGCCCAGCTGTGGGACTTATATAGGCGTACTTTATTGTATTATTAACTTTATGATAATATTCCTTAACTTTAAGAAGTAATCTGCAGTGTAATATGGTCGCCGCAGGAAAATAGGTATAGTACAATGCTAGAACGTGTGTGCAGAATAAATATTAAATATCTATACATGTCTATGCCCCATGTACCCATGAATATTACCTAACTTTATTTATTCTGGCTACAACGAGTTGAGGGTAAGATGGGCCTTATATATTTTTAAAATTGGAGGACAAGTGGTAAAATAAAAATTATGTACAACCGACTTCAATATAATTAAAATGAGAATATTATTAATGTATTCGAAGTAAATTAAATATGCATTATTAAGGATAACTCAAAAACTACCGGTCAGATCTTGATCAAATTTATATGGGACCACAAGAGAAGCACCAGATTTTAGATAAAAAAAAGAATAATCAAAATCGGTTCATTCGGAGAAAAGTTCTGAGGTTACACACGTAAAAAAGAAACTTACAGTCTAATTGAATACCTCTTATTTTTTGAAGTCGGTAAAAAATATATAATAGTGACATATGGGGCCGGATTGGGTTGTGTTCCACACGGGCACTGATGAACTCACAGAAATAGTAATAATAAGACAATAGAAATGAATTAGCGCGCGTATTATAAACATACGCACAATGATTAATGTTTCACATTACAATGCTTGGCGAGTTTGTCAACGTCGCGTGCGTCGCGTAGCGGTAGAAGAAAAGCAGCAATAGTAATTGTACAGTACGAAAAGTAATAAATGATAGTTTACAAAGGTAAACACCAGTAAAGTATTCATCTGGATGCAAATTAGTTAAAACAATGATAATTAGTAAATAATCAACTTACTGATGAAATGTTATGCCTTTATTAGTTGAATTACACGTCCTTGATGAGTTTTTACAAGTGATTGTGCTGCAGTTCACCATTATAAATTTATAATAACATAAATCCACGTACGACGTTATTAACGTAAATCCCCGCGCAATTAAATCACAAAATGGTGAATGATGATCGTCAACACATGATAGCGGCGACGAGGTCGCGCGTCTATGTAACTTCTATTGTCTTATTATAACGATTTCTGAGGATGTACTAGACAAAGCGCCTTTAACGTGAACGTTACGCATTCTTAATAGAACGGCTGAACACATTGACCTGTACTGTTGCACCTATGGTTTTTTTTTTTTTTTTTTTTTTTGGAAAAAAACAACCACATCCCACAAACAAGCCGCAATTCATAAAAGATAGTTCATAAAGATGCACTAATTAGGTCGGCATGCCCATAAAGTAAACATTGACAGGTACTGTGTGTACTACTAAGAAATTCAGGACTTCATAGGCGTGATTTTACTGACAGCTGTCGCAGAGATCAAGCTACCTTTTATGAACTATAGAGTGAATTTACTAGGGTAGGATTGTTTACAATTTATTAGGGTAGGATTGTTTACAATTTACTAGGGTAGGATTGTTTACTATTTGTTACAGTTAATTTTCACATTATCGTAATACATAAAAAGAACCATAATGTCGCATTGGGTTATCCCTGTCATGATAGTTGTTAGTTTAAATAAATAAATAAATATAAAAAAATAATTTTAAATAAAAGTAGAAGCCTTATTTATTCGTGTTTTCAAAGCTGCAATATTGGTATATTGTTATTTATATATTTGAACTTAAGTTTAAAATTTAGCTGCTATTTGAAAAATAACCCTGTATATTAGAATAAAATACCAGTTCAACTATATATGAACTATTAAAAAATTTTATATTGTAAGTTGCTAAATGAATATTTTGTATAAATTGTTTTGCTTTGTAATTAAAGCTGTTTGTGCGCTGCCAATTCGTATGTTACGCATCATTACGTAGAACGGAACGTTTCTTGAATATAAGAATCGGGCTTAAGCGAAATTAAAAATAATATTTTAAAGAATAATTTTTTTTTCAATATAGATTACATGTAATTCTTATTGAAAGTCATTTATTACTTTACCACTGCGCTGGTTCAAAAATAAACCTCTGTCCTGGGAACAACCAGCAAGACACCCAGCGGGACTTAATAAGTTTTACAATGTCAATGGTCACAAAATATTTACAAAATTGATTTTAGAAACAGCTTGGAATCGACCACCTCATTCATTTATATTATAATAATCCTTTTTTAGTTTTTGTTTAATTAAATATTTAAACTTGGTAATAAAGAGACCTTGTATATTTCCTGGGACTTTGTTGTAATAGCGTATACATGGCCCCAAGAATGAATTAAATGACTATGGAGTCGAAAAACTAGCATCACTAGCTTGTGTTTGTTCCTAGTGTTTACAGAGTGTATATCACTTTTTTTTACTAAAAATACCTTTGTTTTTGTGAACATACATTACATATTCTTTGATATACTGAGAATTCAAAAGCTTAAGT